ACCAAATCCAACAAAGAATTCTTACCGTAACATCCTCAAATGACTTTACAGTTATTCCAAGTTTTTTAAAGTTTTCTCTCTTGTCTTTTGTCACATCACCAATTTTTATAATATGCTAGAGTTTAGGACATTGATGAGCTGACTCCAATAAGATTGGCAGCTTGTTCTCATCACACACAACTAATGATAACTCAGCTGAATATAATTTGAAATCAAGTGTCATGGACAGATAATTCTTAATCACCATAGTAACTCCAACATTCTTAGTAAACATACCATGGTTAATGATGTAGATACATGCTTCAACACCTAAACTCTCATACAGTGGAACGGATACAAAGGAAAACATAACACAGGCTCTGTCCATTAACATCCACTAAAAATAAAATAAAACATTACAGATCAAAATATGACCAATCTAAGTCAAAATCATAATGTGTGAAACCTCCAATTTGTTCACGGCATAAATGCCAAATGTCATTTCAGTTGATGGTTTATAGCCAAGTTCCATTATCCCAGATCCCAGAGCAAGTGCTTTTTGATGCACCTAAAATTTGGTCAAACTATAACTCATAAGGACTTCAGGCACTATAGATATAGTTTGTAGTAAATATGAGAACTACCTGATTGTGTGTTAACCATAAATATTTCCCATTAACTATCGTACCAAGATATGGCTGGTCACCTGTAGAGTGCATTAATAAATGAATACTTCATCAAATAACTTACAAAAATAACTAAACACAAAAATTAATTAACCAGAAATCTGAGTTCCTCTCTCATATGCTTCATAAACAGTAGTAATTCCTTGATATGACACCACCAACTCTTCTGAAAACAGAGATCTTTTTACACCAGAATATTCCTATTCAAATAGAGAAAATACATTTAACAATAAAATATTTGTTGAAAAAGTTACTGCTTTTTCAAATACCAATAAAAGTGTCGCCACCATTTCCAATTCGGCTCGTCAGTGGCAGCAACACCACTAGCTCTTCTAAGATCGTACTGCCTTTTGTACTGCATGAATGAATCACGCAGATTTGCCCACTTTTTCATGATAATGTCAACTGTAAAATGTTTAAAAAATAATGGAAATGCATGATTTGATATAAAATGTGTGTCGGCGGACTATCAATAATACTCACTATCCCACGCCAAGTTCGTAATTTCATTAAATTCATCCAAAACATCTTGCCAGTGATTTCTTTTCTTGTTCCTTGAGTCCTTATAATCCTGGTGACTTTTATCATACAAAATTGGTTTTTCTCGCATTATATTTATCAAAAATTCAAAACCTCTTGCCACTCCGCCATGTTTGAGTACAAAGTCTGATATTACTACCAACAGTATGCGTTTTCTTTGACGAAAAAGGTCAAAACTTCAACTCTTCTAATATGCACGAAAACGAAATTTTCATGTTTGTAAATGGGTTCAAACCATTTACTTTATAACGAAATTTTCGTTGAGTTTTCGTTCAAAGTTTTCGTTGCGGCAGTTTTCGTTCTAATTTTCGTCGATATGAACGATAGTGTGGCCTAGGCTTAAATCTAACATGATGAATAATGATTAGCAAACCGCTCATTCGGAAAATAAAACTTTGTACAATAGACAGAGAACATTCTCCTTCGGTTAAACACGAATAACAGGATAAAATCAAAATCTCGACAAATCATTTTCTATTCAAATATCTCATTGAATTCAATGCCTTAACATAACTAGAAAAATAAGATTACATGAGAATGATGACATGGCCATAGAATAGAGAATATATAGAAGGGCAACTCGCGTCGGTAACCTTTGATGTAAGCGTGGCGCGCATTTGTTTCGCGCATACCGGAAATGTGACGGCCGCCATTACTCTGGCCAGTAAAGTGTACAACATTTACTATGAAAATATATGGAGTGGAAGCCGTAAAGTGGGTTAAAATGTAGATTTTTTGAGCTGTTGGCTGTTTTTGGCATCTTTTTGAAAGAAATTGAAATAAAAAGGCAAGTATTTTGTATATATCATGTAACAAATGCATTTATTTAATATATTTATAGCGAAATTCAGTCGTAAAGCTTGAACAGGTTCTGAGGTTCACAAGTCCTGAGGACTTAAATGAACTTGGATGTATTACATGTTAAATATATTATTGTGATATAAAAAGCTTTGTTTTCAATTTAGTTTTATAAAGGACAAAAAATTATATGCACAAAGCCCTCAAAGGTGTGTGACTTTAATGTAATTTCTGTCTTTCTTTTAGTTGTTGCGAATATGCGGTTCGCAAATTTTATGGCGTAATAAATGCGCATTCTTACAAAAAGTTTCTGCAAGAACTCAAATGGGAATTCCGTACAGCAATCAAATTTCTCTGTATGGACTTGACAGTGTCTAATATACTTCGATCAACACCTTCGCTCTTTTGTGTAGACAGAAAACGTCTTAATAAATGTGTCTTCAAGTTTAATGATGTATTCCAGATAAGGAAAAGATGGTGATTGTATTCCTCCTAAATCAGATTTCTTTCATTGAATGCTTTAAAGTGGCAGAATAACTTTCTGCTATCATCCAGTTCTGTAGATGAAAGAGCATTGGTGCATTTCAGACAAGAGTGGAGTTTGAAACTCTTCATTAGAAGAAAACCAGACACATATGCAATGGCATTTTCCCTCATTATGTTAGTAATAACATTTGGCTCCTTGTAGTTTGTAGGACCAATTGCTAAAGTTTGTGGTTGTGGAGGTGGAAAGACTTGAACCGTTTTCTTCTGGCTGACTTAATCAAAAAGTTGCAGTAGAGACGCAGACGTGAGAAAGATCCACAGCAAACCCAATATACAATGCTTTGGGCGATTTGAGAATTGAATAACATTGGAAACTTATTTTGATAAAGACATTTCTGAGTGAAAAATATGTACAAAATAACAGCAATATAATAAATGTCATATTTTCTTAATGGTTACAAGGCTAAAAACATGTCTTTGTCATTAAAGATTTACATGCTGCACAAAAATCTTTAACACAAAACAATTTTAATTTAGAATGTGTGCATTTCATGCAATAGAATATACAGAATAAAATACAGCAATTCAGTACACATATTTGCATTTAAAAAATTTAATGACAACTTTATTCAGAGATGGATATAAGAGAAGGGTGTGCAGCCCCCTAGCTTAAGCTAGATGGGGTGTAGAAGAAATGCTAATTTCTATAAATATTGGTATACTAAACAATTAAGCTGAAGAAATTGTGATCAATGTTTAATAGAACACCCTTACAAAAACCACCCAATCATAATAAAAACGTAATAGAATTTAACAAACAAAGTTTAACATGCTACTGCAACAAGTAGCCACTAAAATGTAATCCAACATACTAAAACTACATAACACAAGACACTTGCAACATAATCCTCACTTGAGAACTGAATGCCAAAATAACAACTAGAAAAAAATATCAGAAAATCAATCATAACTATTGGTAATAAATTTAATAGAGCACAAATCACAGCAAGGCAAAATTTATAAATAAGGCAAACAGAGTGTATACCTCACTAAAACTACATTTGGTATTAAAATTGCCCAACTGTTAACATATTAACATTTCACTCATGCTTAAAATGATAAACAAGCCCTCCATGGTTTGAAACTGAATGTTCCAAATTATTATCAGTTATAATTCACACACAAGCATCATGAATCATTATTGGATTACTTGGTTAGCTGGTTGATTAACTTGATTTATAGTTTAGCAAGTTGGCAAGTTGCAACCTGAAATATTACAGCGTTGGTACAAGTAAAACTCTGACAAGTTTGTGTTTTAAATAATACATTTATAATAACACCTCAAAAGTTTGAAATTTATAATTCAGAATGGACGAAAACGCAAGAGATTTTACTTCTGGACTTCTATTCACCTAACATACTGACAACTCTATAGCAGTAAAATAAACACCTTACATTGAAACATGTAATTTTTACCAATAAAAAACCTTTATGGACTTGCCAGCAATTAAATAATGGTCTCTCATCTTATTTCTTTCACGTTTTGTCACAAAATTCCATGATCTTCCAAAACAGTTTGCGTTTTAGGCGATTATTATCCCAAAATCGCACTTTTCCAATATTATTTTATAGTACGCCAGCGTCAAGTTACTGGCCAGAGTAATGGCGGACCTAACGCATGCGCACAGAAAATATGCCACGCGTTTCACCTGCGAGTTGCCCTTCTATATATTCTCTATTCTATGACATGGCTATCATAGATAATGTCCTACGATTGTCTGCTTTAATTTCTGTCCAATATTTTACTCAATGATTTTACCTGATGATAAATCCGGGATACAGACACTTGCATCAGATTTGCAAATTTGTCTGTAATTTTTAAAGCGAGAAGTACCAGAAGGAGAAGAATTTACGTAACCACGTCTATTATTACGAGAAGGTTGAAACAGGCTGATAAGAGATCAAAAAGAAGACAAAAAATAAATGGTTATAAGTATTAGCAGTCGAGAGGGAATTGAAAAATTTTTCCGAACTCCAATTAAAAAATGCTGTCAGAAAACGTGCAAAAACTGGAAGGATAGCGCCATTGTTGAGTTATCTCCCACTGATTTTTGACATTATCATAATAATTTATGTATACTGCCACGTAGAAAAACAATGTTCATTACTGAGCAGTCCTTTAACTAACAAGATTTTTGTAACGAGATCTGTGAAATATAAAGTTTAATAAAGGTATGTTACAGGTTAAGATATATATCAATGCATTTCATTTCTAGTTTCTTTTTTCTCTAATTAAAACCTAGTTAAAGAAAATAATCAATACGACGGTCGTCGTCTGTTATATAAATTATCAATAAAATACAAATTCTCTTTGAGTTATATGTTTATCAAATGATTACAATAAAGTTCTTTTTGTCATTTAATTCTCAATGGTTGTACATTGTGCTAACTTCATTTTGTATTTTTACACTAAATTCTTGTTTTAATGTCTACGTCAACATTGTTAATTAAATGGCATCCTTGAATCTTCACAGGTAAATTTATACCTAACGATGGAGATGTTCTTTCGTTATGTCACTTAAAGTTTATGGAGGAAAATCATTAATAAGTCAACAAAATGAGTAAAATGTAAGTTGTTTTTATTTTAATTATATATCACTTCAGTTTCTCTTTGAAAATGCTGTGTTGCAAATCTGAATTCTTCTTGATGGGTCAACTTTAATGATCTAGTACTTAATACTCCTTAATAACTTATGATGATACCTAGTTTTACCAGGGACGTAGGAAGATCATAATTTGCTGCCTCATATTCATTTATTCACGTTATAATTCATAGAAAACAATGGATTTTTAAGAAAATTGGGACAAGGAACTCTAGAACAACGTTGTTAAATGACGATGAAAAACGATGGTGTGTTTATGGAATCGTACTTAATCATGTTTTGATCCCAGCTGTTCGACCTTACCTGGAAAATAATATTTTAAATGAGTATGATGAATTAAAGGAATCTCATAATATTCATGTTCAAACGATTCACAACTTTTCTTCACCAAAATATTCCCACGATCTACGCTATAAAAATATCAACAATAATGAAACAAAGGATAAGAAGAAGTTTATCTATGAAGTTAAGTCACATGTCGACTTTGGAAAACTTTTCCTTCAAAACCACATGGCAAAGTTTAACTGTTACGACAGTTGTGACGCATCAGCAGTGCTTAATTTACTAGAAAGGATCCCAATTTTTTCAAACCAGGTCCAGAATGCGGCAAAAATCGTTAGAGAAAATAGAAATTCTTGGGCTCACTGTAATTTTGAGAAATGGAACAAAAAAGATTTTCAAAAGAGAATCGACAATGTGAAGAAACTTGTAAATAAATTGTGTTTAACAAATGAAGATGAAGTTTTGAATGATATAAATCATTGGAAAGATCAAGGTATATTTTTCATTATTATATCATTGAGTGGCTTTTATTAACGTTTGGCAGAACGTATGTAACAAAAAATTAGTTATAACATCTTCATCTAAAACATCCCAGCAATACTGGTACATCGGTACATCGTATATTTAATATATTTTATCAACACCATTTTAATTACATTTTACAGCTTTGACTTGGCGGACAAGCGATCGTACTTTATGTGAAGAGTTAAAAGATCACATTAACAGACTTTTAAAGGAAGTTGAAGAAACGAAATTTGAAAACGAAGAGTACAAAAAGTTAGCGCAAGAGACGCTTGACAAATTTTCGAATTGCATTGATCAGTTAAAAAGACGTGTTGATCAACTTCAACACAAAGTTGAGCAACTTTATCAAAGCAATATTAATGGTATGTTATTAAAACTACAGAATTTCATGTGCAGATTTATAAATTTAACACCGCAAAAACACTATTGAAAATTCTAATCAATCTAAGCTATTGAAAAAATGTGAACGATTTTCAAAATGTTAACAATAAACCATTAGTGCTATATACAGGAATGCATTAAAGAATGAAGACGAGATGTCTTTCAAACAAAACTTACTTTAACATTGTATTTTCATAGATTTTGCCAATTGTGACAGCGATATCGATTTACACTACCAAAAATTCGATCCAGAAACAAGAAAATGGTTGATCGACGATTTTTCTGCTTGGTTCAAAAAACCTGCAGAATCAAGAGCTTTTGTATTTATGGGAGATGCTGGAGTTGGTAAAACAGTTATGGCAGCTGCTATCGCTCAACGCGCTAAGGATGATGGGAAGTTAGGAGCAGCATTCTTTTGTAGACATTATGATGGTACACGTCGTGATCCAAAATCTCTCCTGGCCAGTGTTGCTTATCAGTTAGGTAAACATTTTCCTGATTATTTGAAATTATTGGGAGGGGTGAATGGAATACAAAAACGACTAAGCGATACAAAACTAGGCGTTCAAGAACTTTTTACTAAGTTTTTCGAAGATCTATTATGGAAGCTTGAGACTTTTTCCAAAACTCTTATTGTGATCGATGCTTTAGATGAGGCAGATTATGATTCGAAAAATGAATTTTTTGATGTGGTAACTTTTCGTTTTCCTCAACTTCCACAATGGCTACTTTTCTTTATAACAACACGTCCAGTAGATTACACGCAATTTACTTTGAAAAATTACAATCCATGTGTAAAGATTTGTTCAGGACATGCAAATAATGCTGAGGCTGATGAAAAACATGTACAAGATATTCAAACATTTTTGGAAAATCAAGTCGACTTCACTGGTAAATCATTTACTGCAAGAGAAATTACAAAAAAATGTAAAGGAATGTTTTTGTTTGCACATTATCTTGTCAAAACTCTCAAAGATTCATCTGAAACGGATCTTGAAAAATGCCCACAAGATATTGATGGATACTTTCTTGATAATTTTAAACGTATTCATAAGAAAGTTGGAAAAGATTTCTATAAAAAATTGTTAGGTTGTGCAGTGGTTGCTCCTTCACCTCTTCCTAGTTCGTTTATTCCATTTCTTTTAAAAAAAGAAAATTTAGATCTTCACGAACAAGAAGTATTTGATGCTATTTCACTGTTTTTTTCTTGTGATAAAAAAAAATTCACGTTTCTTCACAATCTTATACCTGACTGGCTCTTTGATAAAGAGCGCGCTTCGCGAGAGTTGGTAATTCGTAAAACAGAAGCACAAATTTTCTTTAAGGAAATTGTCATCGAACTTTTGACATCATTCCTGAAGAATGGACTACCATTCAATGACTCAGATGAAAATTCCGTTGTCTGTTACATCCTCACAATTGAGTTTCGTTATCTATTTCATCTTTCAACTGAAAACTCTGAATTGTCGAGAATATTTTTTCAGTGTTTTACTAACTGTGAGTTTCTCAAACAACGAATACAAAGCAGTACATCAGGTATTTTTTCCCTTTTAAATGACATTCACTTTGCAATTGAAAATATTGAGTTAAAAGAAGATGAAAAACAAACTGTAAAGGAACTACTGTCTATTCTTGAAAATGACAGTTTTTATTTGGTAGATAACCCTGATCTTTTGGACTCCTGTCTTTCAAGGTTATCCTCAAACGTCAGAGAAGCATTTAAATCAAAGCATTCAAACCAATGTAGATTGCGGAATATTATGTTAGATAACGACATTAAGATTAATTGTGACGTCTATGCTTATTCAACAGACAGAACTTTGTTGGCAGGAGGAAAAGAGAACGTTCTTTATCTGTTTGAAACATCTTTTTTTCAACAGAAATTTAGTCCTTTTCAGTTAAACGTGGACAAGATTCATTGCTTAGCATTCTCTCCTGACGACAAATGGATATTTTTTGGGACATTAAGATTCTGGTTTTCCGTAGACGAGAGAATGACAGTTGAGAAAACACAATTTCCACAAACTGATATATTTTATAACTGGGCTTCTTTTGTTGAACATGAACATGTAAATTACATAGTGGTAAGAGCGGAAAATGTTGAATGTCGACCTGATGATGAATGTATATTTTCCGTCACTCCAGAGAAATATCCCACTTCTTTCAAACACCAAATCTGGGATGTCAAAACAGGGGATCATGTGTTCAAGCTCATGTGTGAGAGCGATCTTAATAATCAATGGAAACTGAATTCTTTTTTCTACATATGGCATTTTTTCCCATATATTCTTTATGAAACGTCCCACTGTAAATTATCTCCAAAAGAATTTCTCCAAGATTGCTTGGAAAATTCTTTTTATGCACCTAATGTAAAAATCTGCGACCAGGGGATTTACTTTCGGAAAAAAAATCACTTCGAGGGAAATATGGTTTGGCCATCTAATTTGTATCATCGTTTTGGACTTCTCAAAGATAGAGTATCAATTGTCAAGGCAGACTCCGTTTTCATTCACAACATTCCAATATCTTTACATAATCTGATTTGGGGCGATGTAGTTTATTTGTCTAGTGACAAAAATTGGTTGCTTCTTAAACATATACGTATTCTTAAACATAAACGTATTCTTAAACGTGAAGGTATACTTAGCCTTGAATGTGAATTTCTTTTGTACAAATTTGACCATTCTCAAAATTGTGACGAGGTTCACCTTAAGAACAATACTGCTAAGACTAGCTATGATAGCTTCAAGCTCCATGGTGTTATGGAAGGAAATTCAGATATAGTTGGTTTCACGCATAATAACAACGCTATCATTTACAAAAATAGAAAAAATCTTTTCGCTTGGTTTTTGGATAGCAACGAGCATTTTAAAAATGTTTCCAGATTTTCCCCTTCGAATTTTGTATTTCGATCGAATGGCGAAGAAAAAACGATTTCTTTACATGACTTTCCAGCAGATTGTTTGAAGTTCGTCGACTCAAGCTTTCATGAAGACTTTTCCAAGTTAGACACATTTGATGCAAATAAATGCACATTATCTTATGATGGACGGTATTTTGTAAAACTTTCTAATTCTGAACTTAAAATTTTTTCCGCCGATTCCTCTTTCTCCACTTCTGAAATAGTTCATAAACTGAAGAATGGTGAATCAGATTTCCATTTTGTGTTGTTTTCTCCAGACTCGTCCTTGATTCTATTTTGCATCAATAACAAGGATTCTCGTCGTCAAACCATTTACGTCTGGTTTGTGAAGGACAAAGTTTTAAAGCGTTTCTTTCCTAAAAATAATTGGATAGAAGTAGACACTTGTTGTTCTTCGATGAATAACTGCAAAATCATCTTGTGTAAAGGAACATCAATTTGGATATACGACTATGATAAAAATAAAGCCAGTGAACGAACCAGGCGTTCATTTCAATCAGATAGTAAACAGGAGGAGTGTAGCCATTGTATTCTGTCGTCTGACGACAAAATGTTAGCTTGTTGTGTAGAAAATAGAATAATTTTTTATGAGTTGCTAAGTGCTCCTGAAAAAGCATCTCAATTTAAGCATTCATGCATGGTTAAATGTTGCTATTTTATGGGAGGAAACAAATATGTTTTGTTTCAAGATATTGTAGGTTACATGTTCATGTTTGATCTGATTCAATGGAAACTTGTAACATACTTTAAAGCTGATGCTTCAGTTAAAATTTTGAAACTTACTGATTACAAAATAACTTGTATTCAAGATGATGGGAAAATCAATTTTCTCGCTATTGACGGTTTAAACGATTGGTCAGGCAAGGAGTACAATCTACCTTATAATTTGGATGTGAACGACTTCGCACTTTTAACAAACAGTGATGATGAAATGGTTTAACAATGTAGCTTGTAATTTATGTGTTTTGTTAATTTCACTAATAGTGATAAGGAAGTCGACAGTATCACCGACAATGTGAAATGTCAGCTGAAATTATTTTGAACGTCCAGGACTGCATCGTTGAGATGCTACAAGAAATGAAAACTTTTGCCATAAAAACTCATTTCATTTATTTCTTATGTATAATGACTATAATCTACGCCTCCATCAAAGCATCGATTTTTTTTTAAACAAAATAGACAAGGAACAAACATACCTTCACATTTTTATGGACGTAAATTTTGAAATTAAGATTTTTCTGCTGGTTAAGACCGCAAATGTTTGCAGTATAGTGAATTGTAAAAATATGCCTCCCTCCATACTCCGCGCATAAATCATCAACCTGAAACATGCAAAGTTATTGATAACTTGATCATCTAAGGCCGGTTGCACAAACCTTGGATAGCGTTATCCATTGGATAGCAAAAATTTTCAAACTTGTAAAAAATGTGTTTATATTTTTTTACGACAGAGAAATTCCGTAATCTTAAAAACAATGTTTTATCTCAGTGATTGCTTGTTAGGAATCTTATAATTATTGCTTTTCAAAACGTTTTATAAGAGTTTAAAAAAATTGCTATCCAATTGATAACGCTATCCAGGCTTCGTGCAACCGGCCCCTGTTCCTAAGTTTCTTAAGTTTTCTGCCTTTTTCAATAATTTGCTAAAGAACATCATTTTAAAATCAAACTTGAGAATTCTTGAGAATTCTTGAGAATTCTTGATCTTAGAGATTGGGTAAAGTTGATAATTTAGAGATAGAAATGTTATATGTTGTGTAAACATGTAAATTTGTGGTTCTATTTCAGAAAAAAAACAATGAAAAAACTACCTTTTTTACACTTTTAACAATTTATAGCAATGTTTAGAAAATCGTTTTGAAACAATTATTGATGTTAATGAGTCATTTCGTTCGGAAAACCCGTGGACATTAAGTCAAAAAAATAATCTTATTCAAATCAAATATCACCCACTACGACTTAACCCTCCCGTCGTATTGAAATGTCATCTTAACGACACAATCTTCAACATGAAATTAATCAGTGAACATTGCTATAAATGTAATTATTTACTTGTTGATATAATTCTAGATATTTGCAGTATAAATAAACAATACTATAAGAACCATGTTTATATGAAAGGTGAGACAGAACTTGACGAGTCTTTGTCACTTACCAAACAACAGTTGGGATCCAACCAAAGGCGAAATGTTTTTCGACACGTAAATGATTCTTCATTTCCGACAAAAAAAAATATGAAAAGCTGATATTACATCACAGACTTGTCTTTAAACAGAAAATTATCAAATATTGCTACCCTACCACTACAAAAATAAATAAAACGTTTCGTTTAAACAAGCCTCAGGTTTCGTCTCTCCATTAATAAACAGACCTTAATTTAGAAATTGTAGATGTCAGATAAGATAAAAAATGTTGTAAGTAAAAGTAATCCAAACATTAACTGGTCATAAATTACATTATTTTTTATGATGTTTGCATAAAGTTCAGCTAAATGACTGGAACTTTTTTAAAGCAACAAGTGTTTAGCCATGTAATAATCTCTTAGCATTTTGTCGACAATTTATTTAGTGGATTGAGAAGGATATTAAATAAAATATCAACCTCAAATCTACTGGAAATAATGTTGTTTTTTTATTTTGTATTTATCAAATAAATATATTTTCAACATAAGCACCTCAAGATTTGCAATGTTCCTAGAAATTGCTTTAGTAGTAAAAATTGCTACTTAAAGTGCATAACATGAATAATATTGCAAGTCATCGTACATTTTTAGTTCGACAATATTTAGGTCCAGTGGCGGAACTATGGATGGTCAGGATACATTAAAATCTATTTCCATTTTAAAATACTCTGGAGCGAATCCTATTGGGATTATTTCAGTCTTAAATATTCTTTACAAACTTTTAATGTTGTTAAAAAAGTCTTTTGAATTTACCCTCGATGCGACACGGTCTAGGTCTTAATCAATTTAATCTTTCCTAAACCATGTTCTACGCTTCCAAAGTATCACTATACATTTATAAGGGACCGAGAGGGACTGTGCAGTTATATCTCCCACCCCTAAATAATTTTACTTCCATTTTGTATTTTGTAGCCACATGCCCTACTAGCAAACAACTTTCTAGGATTCAGTGGTCAATAACCATACCACCTCCATTAAAGAATATGCTCCGCAGTCGCTCTTTATTCGTTATATTTTTTGTATTTTATATAATTTGACGTTTAAAATTCTATTTTAAGAGCAACAAGTTTTTAAACCCTTGTCTTCAATGTATTTTTACCCTGAAGAATTAAGCGATCAAACTAAACTATAAACGAACTAAAACAGCCATGAGCCTTAAAGTTTCGGCTTAGCTGGAATCTTCTCCAATTTTTCATACAAACGACCAATTTCATCATTAAATCTTTTCGCTAACGTAAATCGTTTGGACTTAAGTGTTGGAGTTAGTAATCCATTATCTGGAGTGAATAATTGTGAATGAAGATGAATTCCTTTGACCTGAAATAATGACAGAAATAAGATGAGGTGAAATAAAACTACAAAAGAAAATTATCAAGTAAAAACCTGTTCAAACGATGTCAACTTTGCTTCATTTCCTCTGGAGATGATGTCATTCAGAATCATGTAATTGACGGCCTGAAGTTTGAAGTAATAGAAAGTACAAGCGTTTGAATGCAATAAAAAACATGTGGAATTTCTATGTTAATGTCGTACCGTATCCTGACATAATTCCTCAAAACATTTGTTTATGTTATTGTCTTTGGCCCATTTTGTAAGAATTTCTTCATCAGGAACAATGATTCCAACAAGAAATGACTAAATATTGGAATGATTACATTATGCTAGATTGCAAACAAGAAATCGTAAATTCATTCTTATTTTTATCAAAAAAAATCAAAGCCAAACATTTTAAGCGAATGAATATTCCAAATAAATGCAAGTACATTTTCATCAATTTTACTGAACAAACACGTTTCCTGACTGGCAAATCAAGAGCAATTTTTATTTCAAATCTCAACCCATAAGAAAGTTAGTGAATTGAGACGAATTTTGATCTCAGCAGTAAGCAAAAGATAACGTAATTTTTTATTGCAAATCCAAATCTCAAAAATTAAGAATCAAATCAAAATTTCAAGCAAAAATTCACACCCATGCAGAATAACTCGCCCCAGTACCTTAAGACTAGAACCGTGTACAAAAGCTTGAGCGACAAAAGGACATTTGATGTAAACATTTTCAATTTTATCAGGAGAAATATATTCGCCCTAGAAGACACAATCACAAATAAGATAAATGAAAAAAACAACAAAATATATAATGGTTGCTATCATTTATGTTTTATAAACCTGCAACAACTTGAAAATACATTTTTTTCGACCAATTATTTTAAGCGTTCCATTCTATAAAACAAAAACAGAAACATTATGAGCACCTCACCACATACTTAATCATTAAGTAAAAGATAATGTACACTATATTTGCATGAAAGTACGATAATACAAAAAATTGTTCATGATGACAAAATATTTTTCCTATCGTTTCCTTCTTAGAGAAATAAAATTAATATTAATATATTATAATAAATTATAATAAATTTCTTTCAAAGGAACTTGCTTCGTATTTGGTGTAAAATTCTTGAAGTCAAATGTCTGTTTTTAGTTATCATCTTCCTGAATTCGCTTACAGATAATGTCTTAGCAAAAATTAACAACCAGTTAACGTCATTTTTCCCACATTAATTTCGATAACAACAAAAAAACATTATTTTACATCCTTTGCTACTATGTAACTTCAACTGACCTGTTTCCATTCTCCTACATCACCTGTATGCAACCAACCATCATCATCTAACATTTCAGATGTTTTTTCAGGATTTTTAAGATATCCCTTGAAGACATTTGGACCATAGACACATATCTTAAAAACAAAAATCATTCTTTCAATGCACAATCGTAACATAACATTAGCAAAGTAGAAAATAAAAAACAAGATTCGTTACTTCGCCTTGATTGTTTGAAGTAAAATAGTCCATTTCTGGTACATCAACAAGTTTCACATAGTTGCAGGCACTAGGTGATCCAACGTGACCTATAGGTACATACATGGATAAAATATAGTCACCTGTTGGTATAGACATGTACAATATGTTGAAAAATTCCTAGTGAGCTATTCACTCTATATTGTGTAAAATACTTAGGAAAACATTGTACCATTATTAATTAGAAATGATTACAAAAACCTGGACATGACTACAATAATAGCGCTATCAACTGCAGGGCCTGGTACCTACGTAGATAATATGAATGGGGTTTATAGGTAATTGTGACAATCTAACAATACAGATGAAAATTAAGTGTTCGCTTTTTAGCTCATTTTCTAGGATATTATAGTTCATTGTACATAAATAGAACATGACAAAACACTTCAAATCAACTATTCAGACCCAGGCCCCACGCAACTTTACTTAGGTCTTAATGTCTTAATATTGACTTTCTCAACGTTTACAATATTACATTTTAAATGAAGTAACACAGAAGTGTTCATATGGAAATACGTAGTACCTGGTGAAAGATCAAGTTTATTTGTCAGAGAAACAAGTGCTGTAGACTCAGTCTGACCATAACCTTCAAAAATCTTAATTCAAAGAGAAATAAGATGTTACCATGGTAACACAGTTGAAACGTGATGTCATAAATAAATACGAACCAAACATCCAAGAACGACTCTTAAAAACTCTAAAACTTTACCATCAATAGGAGCAGCACCTGTGAGAATGACATTTACATTTCCACCTAAAATTGCCTATAAAGAAGAAAGTTGTCAGTTAGTTTCAATACCAGTCCCCGGAAAGAATGACGGCGAGTGCCCGGTGCAGCGAAATGTAATTTACAATTCATTGGCCAGGTGAGAGTAAAACAATTAACGGGAAATATAAGAAAAATCACTGATCTCAATATCCTTGAAACATGATAAAAGCTTTTTTAATGAAACGAATGAAGTGTTTTATGAGTATAAAAATGTTGACATAACGGGGCCTCATCGGTGACGTAAAAGTGAGTTACCGGTGACGTAACAGCCTGTCCGTTATGTCGTACCTGAATTTTATGAAAAACTATTTTGTCCCACAAAGTATTTTTGGAGATTTGACCTCTACAGTGAAAGTAAATATATTTAGATTTTCATAATGGACTTAAAGCTATTTCATTCACTATTAAATACTTTTTCAAGTCCGCTCTCTTCGACTCAAAAGCCTTGTAAAACAGACATTTTTTTAAGCCACTGCTACTTTCAATATTTGATATAACCTGCAGAATTAAAATCACAGACAAATGAGCGCAACAAATCTTTCACACAAACAAACAACGATTGTCTACATTGAATAACCTTATCGTAAAGACGGTTTAACAAACGAGGAACTGAAGCGAAGAATGTAGGCCTAAAAAATTAATCACACATCATATTGTATGATTTACAGTGATCCACAACAAGTGAATGAATTTCTAGAGAATTACCTCAATAACTGGATGTCATCCAAAAGAAGTTTCACATCACCACGAAAGAACCCACCTCGACCTCCAGCACAGCAAATAATCATCTACAAATGAAGAAGGCGTAATACAAAAATCTGTAGCTTAAAAGAACAACTTAAACCAGGAAGTAAAATATTTTTCATTTACCATAACAAGTCTCTCGTACATGTGAGGAAGCGGAAGATAGGATATGTGAACAAAGCTTGAATCCACTGGGTAGCCATTCTAAAGACGAAAGTATGGAGAAATTGAAACTAAAGAACACAGCAAAGATACTATCTTCATTTTACTAAACCTTCTCAAAATGTATAAAAGTTGCAGCGAGGCAGGATATCATGTTCTTGTTGCTCAACATCACTCCCTTTGGTTGTCCTAAAAATAAACGTCATAACCAAAGTTCAATATACGTACCACTGGTGAAACTACACAAGAGAATTACCTGGGGGTACGACTCTTAAAATCAGGGGCGGATCAAAGATTCGCGGCAACCCTCTCCACCCCTTACCCCCAACTAACATATTTAGAAAAATACTCAAAAACAATAATTATTTACAAAAATGCTAATATTTACATACAATGTTTTAGCAAAGCGGTTTAAACGAAATATATTTTCTACAACGATTTTTTTGCAATGAAAAATCGTTACGAACATGTTGTTTCATCAAATGAAGGCTTTATTTCTTTAGAAAAAATGACTTTGCTTTTTGCACGTGCTCTCATAACCGTGTAGCTCCTGGCGATTGCAAATTACTCCCTACTTTCATCCGTCCCAAGGTAAAACTACACATAAATCTTACCCGTGGTACCACTTGTGAAACAAATTGTGTAAACATCGTCAGGTTTAGCAGGCTGAAATAATTACTCCCTACTTTCATCTGTCCCAAGGTAAAACTACACATAAATCTTACCTGTGGTACCACTTGTGAAACAAATTGTGTAAACATCGTCAGGTTTAGCAGGCTGAAATAATTACTCCCTACTTTCATCTGTCCCAAGGTAAAACTACACATAAATCTTACCTGTGGTACCACTTGTGAAACAAATTGTGTAAACATCGTCAGGTTTAGCAGGCTGAAATAATTACTCCCTACTTTCATCTGCCCCAAGGTAAAACTACACATAAATCTTACCCGTGGTACCACTTGTGAAACAAATTGTGTAAACATCGTCAGGTTTAGCAGGCTGAAATAAATCACCACAAAATCCATTATTTTGAACAAACACGTAATTTTAGAGCAAAGAAGAAAAAATCGCCCAGAAAAAGATAACATACAGACATTTTCCAAGGATTCCAGTGTCCCATTAACTAAAAAATAACAAATGAACACAAATCATCAAGCATGACAAATTCTTGTACTTAATTAACCAAATCCAACAAAGAATTCTTACCATAACATCTTCAAATGACTTTACATTTATTCCAAGTTTTTTAAAGTTTTCTCTCTCGTCCTTTGTCATATCACCAATTTTTATAATATGCTTGAGTTTAGGACATTGATGAAATGACTCCAATAATATTGGCAGCTTGTTCTCATCACACACAACTAATGATAACTCAGCTGAATATAATTTGAAATCAAGTGTCATCGACAGATGTTTCTTAATCACCATAGTAACTTCAACATTCTTAGTAAACATACCATGGTTGATGATGTAGATACATGCTTCAACACCTAAACTCTCATACAGTGGAACAGATACAAAGGAAAACATAACACAGGCTCTGTCCATTAACATCCACTAAAAATAAAATAAAACATTACAGATCAAAATATGGCCAATCTAAGTCAAAAATCATAATGTGTGAAACCTCCAATTTGTTCACAGCATAAATGCCAAATGTCATTTCAGTTGATGGTTTATAGCCAAGTTCCATTATCCCAGATCCCAGAGCAAGTGCTTTTTGATGTACCTAAAATTTGGTCAAACTATAACTCATAAGGACTTCAGGCACTATAGATATAGTTTGTAGTAAATATGAGAATTACCTGATTGTGTGTTAACCATGAATATTTCCCATTAACTATCGTACCAAGATATGGCTGGTCACCTGTAGAGTGCATTAATAAATGAATACTTCATCAAATAACTTACAAAAATAAATAAACACAAAAATTAATTAACCAGAAATTTGAGTTCCTCTCTTATATGCTTCATAAACAGTAGTAATTCCTTGATATGACACCACCAACTTTTCTGAAAACAGAGATCTTTTTGCACCAGGATATTCCTATTCAAATAGAGGAAATACATTTAACAATAAAATATTTATTACATTTGCTAATGGCAGGTATTGTACACTGCGTTGCTAGGGATGGGAAAGTGAAAATAGTTTTATCTCACATGTGTAATAAACACACGAGGCAAGTCCCCGCGCGGAATGTCCCTGTATTCATTTACAATAGAATGTTAAATGGGGGGAGGGGGTATTCATTTGTTTCTGTTAAAAGGAAATGACATCACTAGATTATCAATCACGTGACCAATGTACTTATATTTTTTGTTCCGCCTTGTAAAAGAGCACATGACTGTTTAATGATTCTGTCTATGTTCGTTAAAACCTCTAAATCTAACGTGATGAATAATGATTAGCAAACCGCTCATTAGGAAAATAGAAACTTTGTACAATAGAAAGAGAACATTCTCCTTCGGTTAAACACGGATAACGGGATAAGATCAAAATCTCGACAAAATATTGTCTATTCGAATATCTCATTGAAGTTATTGGGGATTCTGTGAAATATAAAGTTTAATAAAGGTACGTTACAAGTTAAGATATATTTTGATGAATTTCTTAAATTTCTAGTTTCTTTTTTCTCTCTTTAAAACCGATTAAAGAATATAATCACACAACGGTTAATTGTCTCTGTGATGTCCAAGATGTAATATAAAATACAAATTCTCCTTGACTTATGTTCATCAAATACAATAAAGTTCTTTTTGTCTCTCAATGGTTGTAAATTGTGCTAACTTCATGCTGTATTTCTACGCTAAAATATTGATGTAATGTCTAAAGGCTAAAACACACTAGACAGTCGCTTTAGTCGCGCGTCCAAAGCGAATTGATGCGCACGCGTCAGTTGCTTAAACGCCAGAAACACACATGCAGTGACCATCGCGACTTTTACCGTTGCGTCTATTTAACATTTTATTTTGGCCTTTATTATAGCTACTAATACATGAATATTTACTCAGTACAAACTACTATATGGAGAAAAGAGAACAAGCCAGTTAAAACGCGCCGTTACGCGTATATCGTGGACAATCTTATTCTGTGCATTTAGGTTGTGCATTAGGGTTCCAGTTTGTAGCTTCTATTGTCCCTATTCTACAAGTCATATAAAAACTGTAAGATTCCAATGGGAATTCACTATATATTGCCCTCGTTTTCCACGGTATAATCTATAAATTTCGTATGATGTTTATAACAGGGGAATATGATATGCATTTAGGAAGTTAAAGTTTATTGGCCAATGAGTGTAAAGCGACTAAAGCGACCAATATCAAAAGTTCAACATGTTAAACTTTCAATGCGACTAGATGACGCCATTGAGTTCTATAATAACTGGAGCGGTTATCTCAAGCGCGGCTTTAATTAGCGGCTGACGCCAAAAAAATGGAGGATTTGTTCCATTACCGCTAAGATTTCCCGAAATTGACTGCTTTTCCGAAAATCTCGCAAGTTCTCTCTCCCCCCTTGAGAAAGAGTGAGGAAAAAGTATATGTGTTTTTCGCATATTTGGCAAGCTTTTTATGATGAAAATCACTGTAAAAACATAAAATTCATAAAAGCGAGTCTAGTGTGGTTGCCAGTTGTCGGCTTCTACGACGGATGCCTTTTTTAACGAACGAACTATTTGTTGGCCACATATGAATGCAGATGTGCGCGTCGTAACTGTCGTTTAATGATTTGCTCGATCAAAGTTTGTAGTCTGCACGAAACAAAATTTTTCAAATTTTATCTCCCACGGATCACGAGAGAAATGTTAGCCCATTTATTCTCATTAGTTTTTTGCTTTCTTTCATGTGATGGCCTTTTTCGCAACAATTGTAGGATTTGTTTTTGTACATGCATCTCGCGTTTCGTAAATGAATAATGAAAAAGATATTGTATACAAATCATGAGAATCTTTGAGATTTTTGTGGTTAGTAATGATTGTGAAATGGCAAAAATGCAAATAATTAAAACACTTAAATTACAATTGTGTTTATAACACTTGAAAACATGAATACACAATTGTGTTTTTAATACTTCTCTTCTTTTTCTCTTTTTTATGTATTAGCCATGTGAGTTCAAAATTTGATTGACTAATAAAGCTTTCACCTCAATAATAAATTTTATACCCATATTTAATACCAGTTGCTATGGGATTTTTCCCTCTAAGTATGCCACATCTGGTGTTGTTTATACAAGAATGATGAAGTGCATGTACACATGTAAAAATAAGGCAATAAAATCAAATGAATTAAATTTGTGCTCTTTAATGCTAGAAGCTTAACAGCTTTTCAGAAATTATAGAGTTATTAAGGTGCACTACCTATATTTCATTGATATTATAAAATGAATAAGAAGCAGAAAACTGAAGAAAAACTTGGAAAAAAACAAAACATTTCCCTGGTTTAATAAAGGGGAAAATAAAGCAAATGGCAAATGTCCATTCTGTACTTTATTAGGTAAATGAGCTCATAATAAAGTGATTTATGAAATAGTGTTGGTACTGGTACTGCTGCATTTTCCAGAAACATTTTGCTATCCGATCATCTCTTCATGTTGTCAAATTGATTGAACAAACTCTGCTCTACTTCATGGGTTCTCTTTGAGGTGATCGTTTCTTCATAGTATCTGCCTACTGAGTAAAAAGAGAAGAATTTTCTTTTCGCGTCAAACATATTTACGGTCTCACACATTAACAAATAAGTGGAAAAATATGTTGATATCTAAAAAGAAAAACAGGAAAACATCAGTCGGATTTTATCGCTCGGGCTTTAAGTTCAATTGCTTTTCAATTTTTGATGAACAAACAAAACAAATATCTCACCTGTGAAAGCGACATGTTCCTCTTTGTGGACACTACGATATCCAACAATTGAATGATTGAAGTGTTGGCATTTTAAAAGAAATGCCAAAAAAAGATATCTTGGTTGTTTTTGAAAAATGCTGTATAATTATAAGTTGCTATAGACATCAGGGGGAGGTCGAGAATATAATTTTTCTGCAAAGCGATCATTTCAGCGGAAATAGGTCCATTGGCCGCATTGAGCTCTATAAAACCTGGAGGGGCAAAGGGGCCTGGACCCCGTGGTCAAAAACATGGCGGTAACAGTGAACCAGTGAACTCCATATATATATATATCTGGAATGATAACGACAATACATTTTATAGATAAAAAGTTGAAGCCAAAGTCCTAGTCTCTTGCGCGGTTTGTACGTCAGTTCCAGTCCTTCAAAGTCGAATATTCACGCGGTTTGTACGTCAGTTTCATTCCCCTAAGTGCCAAACATACACGGCCAATATAAATTTGAATACAAATTGCGAAAGCATAAACATATAAACAACATCACTACAAACAACACTCGAGGCCAACTCCTCGCAAAAGGCTATTTTTTACAGCTGAAACTTTACTACAGTGAGCTCGTTGTAACTTATAACTTGTAACGAGGAAAAGCCAACTGAAAATTACACTGTATGCTAAAAAGACAATACAATAGAAAATATGACGAGAAAATATTCAAGCATAAATTTTTCTTTCGTCGGAAGGTAAATTTTCAAACGGTGTCAGACAGTGTTTGTTTTTTGTCATTTCAGTGGATTTAAAGATCTTTTCGAAGAAGAAAAAGAAACTTGAATATCCAGTTTCATAAAAATATTGAGTCTATAACTCGCATTTTACTTTTACAGAGCGATTGTTTTTAGTCGATTTTGATAGTGATTGAAATACTAAATGGTTGTCATCTCGATATCAAAAATTGAATATCCTTAAAGACTTTGCATTTCATTTTTTTGACTCTGAAGATGACCACCGCTAAGGTTGTCGAAACGTCAGTCAACAACAACAAAAACAGTCCTTCTCAGGACTATACCAACCTGGACGATCTACATTTACAAACATGTAACGATACTCTCGGGTTCAAACCAAAGACTTTGATATGTTTTAAAGGAAAACCGCAGCGTAAGAGCAGATCGACTAAGTTCACCTCATCTTGCTTCTCGATTTATCACTTTGATTCACTTTCCGTAAACCTTTTTATTTTGTTATTTTACGCTCTGATCAAGATCCGAACTCTACCATTACCAAGGGACAAATGATTTAAAAATAAAATGAACACGCGAGAGTTGACGTGATGACGAATGATGACGACAAATATTTTTTTGGCTTCAATTTTTGGCTTCGGTTATCATTCCAGTTATTCAAATGTCGAGTTCACTGCAGTGAAGCCAAAAAAATATTTGTCGTCATCATTCGTCATCACACGTCAGGCTCTAGTCTCTCGCGTGTTCATTTTATTTTTTTAAAATCATTTGTCCCTTGGTAATGGTAGAGTTCGGATCTTGATCAGAGCGTAAAAATAACGAAATGTTTGTAATGAAAAGGTTCACGGAAAGTGAATCAAAGTGATAAATCGAAAAGCAAGATGAGGTGAACTTAGTCGATCTGCTCTTACGCTGCGGTTTTCCTTTAAAACATATCAAAGTCTTTAAGGATATTCAATTATTGATATCGAGATGACAACCATTTATTATTTCAAGTTTCAAGCACTATCAAAATCGATGAAAAATACAATCGCTCTGTAAAAAGTAAAAATGCGAGTTATAGACTCGATATTTTTTATGAAACTGGATGTTCAAGTTTTTTATTCGGAAAACAGATCTTTAAATCCATTTTAAATGACAAAAAGACAAACACTGTCTTTTTGTTTTCCGTTTGAAAGTTTACCTGACGAAAGAAAAATTTATGCTTGAATATTTTTCGTCATATTTTCTATTGTATTGTCTTTTAGCAAACAGTGTAATTTTCAGTTGGCTTTTCCTCGTTACAAGTTGTAAGTTAAAACGAACTCTCTGTAGTAAAGTTTCAGCTGTAAAAATAATCTTTGCGAAGAGTTGGCCTCGTGTGTTGTTTGTCGATGTTGTTTATATGTTTATGCTTTTGCAATTTGTATTCAAATTTATATTGGCCGTGTATGTTTGGCACTCAGGGGAATGAAACTGACGTACAAACCGCGTGAATATTCGACTTTGAAGGACTGGAACTGACGTACAAACCGCGCAAGAGACTAGGACTTTGGCTTCAATTTTATATCTATAAAATGTATTGTCGTTATCATTCCAGATATATATACATGGAGTTCACTGGGCGGTAATGGCGGATTTTGGTGGTCAAAACTTCCACTTTAAAAATTTTTTTCAATATTCACTCCCTCCTGATTTCTAATACTGTTTGTATGAACGAAAACAAGTGAGAAAAAAAACAATTACGATACCGACAGCATATCATGTGAAAATAATGCTTCAGCATTGCGTGAAAAACACAGTACAGACACACATCAAAATAAAGAAGATCGACGGTAGAGGAACGCATATTTTAGATGTAACATTTAAGTTATTTTATGACATTTTAGCCTTTTAAAAGTGAAAATCAAACGGCATTCTTTACTAGACCTGTCAATCTCGTCAAACTTATACATTATTTCATGCTTTTGTGTGTTTGACTGTTTGTAAACAGTTTGGTGCACCTATTTTCTTGCTTCAAATGGATAAATCTGTGTAAAATGCTCCTAAGGAAGCGAGAAAATGTTTGCTCAGTCCTACGACATAAGTCAACTAAAATTTACCATGGTTAAGTATCATAGTGTATTGTCATTACCTGATAAATCTACTGAAAACTCATAAAGAAAGTATGTTGAACTAGAAGAGCTACAAAAAAGAAAAAAATTCAAAACACCATGACACTGTTGCTTGGTAATTTGTATTTTGTAAACAGCTTGGCAGAATCTTGGATCTATTACTGAACAGAACTACATTAATTTTCCATTGAAATTACAAACTTGGAAACTAAAGTGCATTGGTTTCTCTGACAAAAACACTGTCTATTGCTGCATGAAGGCAAAATAGTTATTTGACAGTGTAGGTTAAAAAATTTATCAAGTTCTATAGATATTATTGTGCATCACTTACAGTTTTTTCGAATTGTGTAATATATGTCATGAACAAGATATAATTTTTCAAAAATGCTAACCCCTTCGAGCACTACTACTAATTATTTATATGTACAAACTAACATTTGGGAATTAAATGATAAACAACTTGTTAAATCTTTGTATTTTACATCAAGCCTTTGAATTAGTTCCTTTTATCTCTTGGTAAAAAAATATTAATGAAAGACTTACAGATCAAGTTTCTCGAAAATAGTATTTTGTACAAAGAAACTAAATAATTGGAAAGGTCACATGTTGAAGACAGACTTTGCTTCTTTGACTAGGTTGCTTGACCATGAGCAAATTTAAATTTGTTTACAATTTGTTTAAAGAGTTCTTTTTATTGATTTTTCCTAATTCTTCATAAGACACAAAGAATTTCTTTGCCATCTATTTTTGCTTCTTCTACATTCAACTTCATTGTAACCAATGCATCCGATGTGAATTTGTGGATCATCTGGAATCATACCAAGTATGGATTTGATGAGATGAGACAATAATATGTTTAATTTTTCATGCATATTAATGATATAATCATAAGCTACTGTTGAACAAAATTTCAAGGTAGAAACAAATCTTAGCACATTGTTCAACACACTACTTTTATCTAGGTTTTGAAGTAGTAACCTGTTTACTATAACAATAAATATTTCATTTACAGAAACGCTAAGTAGTACTTTAAAATTGTTTGCATAAATCCAACTTTCCAATCCCATTATAATTGTCTACACTATACAGTCAGTCAAATTGAGCATGCAAACAGTTTAATAGTTATTTTTATTATACAACATATACCATAGTTCTCATTAATTTTGCATGGCACTGCATTCAATTTCAACACAACTCTGTTGTAAACTTACCCTTCATCTTTTCAAAAAAAACATGAACAAATTATGCCCCATTTTTGGGAGGTAAACTCAATTCAAATCAGGAGAGTTTAGCTTGATGCCTTGATCATGATACAAGATGGATGCAAAACTCGATAAAAATTGACAGCTTCGACACGTCTGGCGAGCGATTAAGTGAAGAACAAACAAGACTGGACCAAAATAACTTTAAATTAAACCTTAGTAGTAGAAACACTCTTCAAGTATCGTGTTAAAAACAAAATAGTAAAACTAATACTGTGCTACTTACCGGAGTCATGAAATGTTTCCTTTTCTGTCGATATTTCAGCGTCCGCAAACCACAGAAGTTAGCAATTTAATAAATAAATTTTAAAAAAGTGTTTATGTTAGGAAAATAAAAAGTTTTGATATTTTCTATACTCGCAATTGTGGTGGTCAAATCAGGGTGGGCGACAAAAATTTTATTTCATGAGCCCGCGTCTCTCCGCTGACTTTGACCACCAAAATCCGCCATGTTTTTGACCACGCGGCCGCGCGCTAATAATTTATACTAATTTTGTTGACGTTTCCCCTCCAGTTATTATAGAACTCAATGGTTGTGACTCACTTGGGGCCAGATGTTTTCTCAATTCAGTTTCGCTTCGTAATTATTGCTCGCGCAAGCAATGGCCACTAACAGGTTGAATTGTTCGCCATGGCGGTTACTAAATGAAAAATGCAGACATGCGAACAAATAGAGAAAAGGAAAGCTGTAAAGCAGCACATTTGTTTTGATGTAAAGGAAGTTTCTTGTTAGGTTCATTTTTAACCTTTTACTTTGTTCCTTATTCGCTGATATTTGTGCTTTAATTCCCCTAGCTATTACTGTATTGTAAGTCTACATTATTTAATCAATCTTAGCACAAATCTTCGAATAAAACACTTCAAGTATTGTAACAAAAAACAATAAAAATGGCTGGCAAAAGTTTTAGCTAAATAAAGGACCGATTACATGAAGCAATTTTAGCCCGGGCTAAGTTTCAGCTTCCAGTTCTGTTTATTGCCGTGGAGTTTTGTTTATTGCCGTGACACTTGTGGGTACCGTACGTATGTATAACTCAACAACGAAAACTTTATTTTTGATTAAACGCCAGTGTTTAATTTGACCATAAGAAAAACAATAATACGTCAAAATTTAGTATATTTTCAAAATAATGTGAAAGTTTATTTTTAATTAGTATGTATAGGAGTAAACGAAAATCCAATGATTTTGTTCAACTGAAGCACAAATACTTGAGGCCCTGTTCACACGATACCGGATTCGTCTTGTACCGGATTCGCTGAGCAATCCTATACGAAAAATGCACTCTGTTCACACGATGCCGGATTCGTAAGACGATACATAAGTTTTTATATCGCCCCAGTACTTGTACGTGCAAGCGATAACGACGATGGTTGCTAATTCAAGTATTACGTAAGAAAATGAGAACTTTTTTGACAGATAACTAAGTAGAGTTTTTTCTTAGGCGTAATAAGGTTTTTTACGAATGGGCGCAAGGACTGGAAGAGTGTAAAGTCCAAATACAACCGAATATATGTTGCCATTGCAATAACACTAGAAAGAAGCTTTTCACACTGCGATAATACATTGTTAAAAGCTTAAACATGCCATGTTGAAGATATATTATATTTGCTTGCGGATTATTCATATAAAACATAGTTTGTATCGCTATGTTTGCTTTCATTTTTGAAAAATCGCACGCACTTCGTAGTTGCCAAAGTGGAACGTATATCGGATTCGAGCGTTCACACGACAACGGAACGTATCGGATTGGTTTTTATACCACTTCCACAGCGGAGTGAAATCGCTCCGGGAAAACGATATAAAGCGTATCGGATTTCAGCGGGGAGCTGTATGAACGCAAGACCTATCCGGTACGAAAAGTAATCCGGTATCTAACCAATCCGGTATCTTGTGAACAGGGCCTGAATTCGAAATAAAACTTGTTAGTGGCGTATCTAGCGGTTTCATTATTTTGTGTGTCTCAGCCTTTGGTTGCGATAAAAAATTTCCACCTCATGAAATATATGTCCATCGTGTTTTTATCATAGAAAATTGTTACGGTTATTTTAGTGCTTGTTTTCTGACTGTTGACAATAAAGATTTTTGATGATTTCGATTGATATTAATCTCATTTTACTTTTCGCTTTGTGTTTAATGCCTTTCTAGCTATATGTTTGTGTTTATCGTGAAGCTCATTTCATAAAACTTTTGTAATTCTGTTTAAGAAGCTTGGGTAAATGCAGAGCGTATGTGAATGAGAAGTCACTGTCATAATAAACAAATCGTGTTTAGAATGAACATTATAAAGTACACCGACAATATTTATCACATTGACATATTGATGGTTGAATGGAGAATTTTAGTGGACAAAAATTTGCGGTTGCGTGAGAAAATTGTAAAGATAACAGTTCTTGGTGTTCGGCACTTAACACCCACCTTTAATGCATTTCATTGTTTGTTGCAAAAATGACATTCCGCTTTTTTCGCCATGAGAGCTAAGAATTTCATATGTGAATATTAATGATTTGGAATAACATTTTCATACGTCATCATTTGGATGGAAACAGTCATGAATTAAATGGATTTTCTTGGGTGGGAGCAGGGAGTATCATCCCAAAGTTTCATATTTTTTGTCTCTCTAAATAAAACATTAACCTCAATAAGAAATATTTTTACCCTCAAATTTTTGCAAAACAAATCTCTAGTACAGTTGAGCTGAGTTTTGTTGTCTGGAGCTCAAATTTGGCTTAAAAAATAATTAGGTTTGTATTGCAGGCAGGGTCGCCTCCCAGTCCCATCTATTATAGTTTAGTGTGCTCAACAGAACATGAAATTTTAAACATAAATTCTTTTCAGTTTCATTCACATTGACACTGTATGCAATATGGAGTTTGTACCAACGTGGCGACCGATATTACAGCACTCTATTATTGCCACATTTTGATTAAATTTCGCTGGTCAATTTCATTGAGCACAACTATCAGTCTCTAACGGTGATGGAAGCAAGAATAAAATCAGCTTTGAGCATAGTTGTGGATGTTTGGGAAGGCAAAAATGAAACATATTTTGTTGATGGATTCAAGGACGAATTGAAGACACTACGCGAGAATTCGTCAAGAAATCTTTGCAAGGATTCGCCAAGAAATCTTCGCGACAGTTTTTTGCACTTTCAAGAGGGAGTTGTGAAGCTAAAAGTTTTGGAAGGGCGTGCTGCAAAGCAACCATCGTCGTTAACACCGGAAACAACAACATCGTTATCTCAATCTAAAACGCGCTTTGAGCTAGCTGGAAAGAGAGCGAAAGAAGCATTGGAGGATGGGTCTTTAAGCATCGAAGATAAGATAACAGCAAGCAAGATTCGCATAGCAAGCGCTATTCTTCAACACTTGGATAAATGTGAGTTAGCGACAAGAGATTTGTTGCGATGCCTGAATGAATTAAACTCATCGGTTGTCGCGGAAGTAAAGGCCAAATCTCAAAAAAACTTAAGAGACGAAATCCTTGACAGTGTAATACATATCAACGTCAATTTGGCCGATTTCATATTTAATCACACTTACAAGAGAATGTATGTTATGGAATGGCCCTTGATTCAATATGGCAAGCAGTTGATTCATCCTTTCTTTTTCAAGAACATCAATGAAATTACTGCCACGTCACTACCTTGGTACACAACTGACCTTCGTAAGAATATTGATTTCTTGAAGAAGAAAATGATCGTAAACAGGGAAGGGGAATTACTTGTTTTTGATGGAAATGAATTGCAAAAGCTTGACAGCAATAGCGAGAAGTTTCAAACATGGTGTACAGAAGGTCTGAATGTTGAAAATAGACAAGTTGAATGCATGAACGTTGATGAAAATGGCATGGTATATCTACTTTTATATGGTAAAGACCATCCAAATGGCAATTATGTGTTGAAACTTTGTTTGGAAAACAGAATTGTTCAAAATTGTTCTTTGCATTTTCTTAATGACGAAAACTTTAGTAAGATTTTTCTAGCTGCCACGCGCAATGACAAAGTTATCCTTGCTACAGTTAAAAGTTCAGAACGCAAACGAAGTGAAATTAATATATATGTGTGTGACAGTAAAGGTAAACATATTAAGTCGTTTGTACCAAAAGTTAAACGTAAACCAGTTGATGATGAAGTGAAAAGTTTGTCCATTTCATCCTGTGAAAATATAGCAATTTTGACAAATGCATCTGGCCAATTTTACCAACTCATCTTTTTTAAGTTGGATAAAACGTTTGTCAAAAAGATAAAATTTCATCCACAAGTTGAAGAAATCAACGCATACACTCGAGTCATTTACACTCCCTTTGACAACACTATCAAAGGTTTTTATTTTAAAGAGGACAAATCACAGCTTGTTATTGAAACTTTTTCTATTGAAACCAAAAAAATAAAATGGTTTGTAATGCTGAAGAATACAGGATATTGTTCAGAATTATTTGATGGTTTGTTTCCTCTTGTTCATCATGCAAATGGAAAGGTGGCTTTGCTTTCAAGTAAAAGTATAATTTACATAATCAAAGGGAGCAGTGAGCATGATGCCATGGAAGTGAACTTGGAATGGAAAGGTATTTATAAATTAAAGACAGATTTAGTCTCAAGTTTGAAGAAAGGTTTGAGTGATGGATATTTAAGGGAAGAAACCAAAACATTTTTTGTTAACTCCAAAAGATCACTCATTTGAAATAACTGACTGCTATACAACTGCCTACGACTCATAAATTTTGAACAGATATTCTTTAGCAAATCTAAATTTCAGGTCAAACCAGGGGCGGATTCAGCTATAGGCAAAATAAATTACTTCAGCTTAATTATTGGGTAATATTTATTCTTTAGAAATTCATAACCGATTACTTTTATATAAAGGTATTTTAAATTTAAAATTAGTGGTTATAATTTATTTTGCCTAACCCTGGATCAGCTACTAGCTCAAATATTATTGTATTTGTCTACATGACATTTTTATATCATTTTCTTTTGGGATTATGTCCCCCTAGTTTATAGACATGAAGTAAAACTGATGGCACTGGACGATTATGCTTTACTTAAATGAATGTGTTTCCACTCTATTTCTTTGTGTTTGATTGTTAAGATATTTTAATATTTCTTTAGAAACCAATTCCCCGCATGCAAATACTTCAGGTAAGTCATCACAAAACATTGCAAAAATCAAGCAATTCAAAATATACTCTTTAGTTTTGTTTATATTACTGGCCTGGAAATGACCTATGAGTGAGAGCAGTTTACATGGCAACCAATCTAGGCCAAAATATTCCTAAATGTCTGGCCTAAATATTCTCTTGCAAAGCTATTTAGTTACTTGTAACTATGTCCATTGAAAATTTAAAAAAATAATTTCATCAACATAGCCAGTTTGGCATAAATAACATTATTTTTGAATGTTAAAAAATTAAAGTCATCAAGTTCAGCTTCAATTCTTTTTTCATTCCACAAAGAATTCAAGAACCAAATTTTAACATCTGCCAAAATTTCTAACAGTTCTTGGTAGTACAACAGTCACTATTTAGCAATATCAAATCAACTGTTTACATTTATATCTAAAAGAACTAATATTGGCTAGCTGCCATTATTGGCTCTATTAATGCAGCTGTCATCTAAACTAGTAAATGCATTTACACTAATACAGTAACATACCCTTCCCTAACTAAAACTGTGTGCAATACTGGGCTTGAAAAGTCAGTCCCAGGTCAGGGCCGCATTGAAGTGTTTTAGGTCCCTGGGCACAAACGTATTGGGTTTGGATTGTCCATATCATTGTTTTACAAGAGCGGATTTTTTTTGGTCCATATTTTCCTGGCAGTTGCAGTTGCATTTTTCTATAATTGATTATGTTTATCTCAGCAGCATTTGTTTTCGTATTGTTTGGTTGTTTTTTAAATTCCATCTCATTTTGAAATAAATATTTTTGGGTTAAAAAAATCCCAGTGGTCCCATTGGTTAATGTGGCACTGTACTAGGTCACTCTTGAATTGTTCAATGTTTACACCAGCTACTTGGTCCCAGGTCAGCTATAAACCTGTAAGTAGTATAAACATGGCTTTGGAGAGCCTGGTGAACAACATGTCATGTTCTCCCACAAAAGTTGCTAAATCTGTTTCATTTCTCTTCTGTTTGATGTTATTTTTCAATTCTACAAGGTGGTTGTATTAAATAATTGCTCTGTACTACTTTAGTTATGCCACTTTTTTTATTAACGACAAATCTTCTGCTGTATTTTCTGTACTGTCATGAATGTTACCAGAGAAATGAAGTCTTAATTTTTTCCAGTACTCGTTTGCTTTGAGTTGAATCAAATTTCTTTAATACATTAATTAAATGTTTTGATGAATGATTTATTGCATGCGAAGCAGAACTTTGTTTATCATTGGGTCACGAGAATATTGATTTGATTTCACTTTCTTTAACCATAAGCAGTGACGTGATGTTAAGATTTAGAGTAAGTATCCATTGTGTGGACGGTTATTACCAACAATCATGAAAGTTTTGGGAAGAATAGTGACTTTATTGTTTCTATTTACAACATAGATTGCTATAGATTTGGACATAGATTGCTATAGATTTGGACATAGATTGCTATAGATTTGGACATAGACTCCTATAAATAGAAACTTGAACATTTTTTCTCTTTTAAATTATGTATAATGAAGAGGTAACAGAGAATGGACATGAAGAACCTCGAAATAATGAACAGGAAAACGTGCAGGAAGAGCAACGTGAAGACTTACAGCAAGAGTTCGTGGAGGAGCAACAAGAAGATGAACCACCTGAAGATACTTCTTCCGGTATGTGTATTGATTTGACTTTATTTATTAAATCATCGAAAGTTTTTTATAATCGATCACGAAAACAGCAGTTATTCTTGTTTTTTTTTCTGGTTTTGTTGTTTTGGTCTATGCCCCCAATTTACTAACATGGTTTTTCAAGCCCGTTTGCATTGATTTTGTTGTTGATATTTGAGTGATTCATTACAAGCAGAAATCAGGAATACATAGAATAGAAATGTAATTAATAGAAAAAATAGTTCATGGCTTCCCGTATAACATAACATGTGCTAAGATAACATCAATACTTCATGCAATAATATTATAGTGTAACATTACATCATCAATAATACTTCATATTGCTAACACTCCCACTTAATGTGCACTATAAATGTTCTTTAAGAATTACGAATTCTTAAACTAAAATTTCTTTGACACCTAACATGTCTCGAAAGTTTTGGAATGTTTGCTTTGGTAAACTTTTCGTCATAACATCCGCTAACATCTGATCTGTACTACAGTATTGAACAATAATGGAATTATCGTTGACCTTTTCTCTAACAAAATGATACGCAACGTCAATATGTTTAGTGCGATTGTGAAATCGTGGATTCCTCGAAAGTTCAATTGCCCCTTGGTTATCTTCGTTCAGTATAGATGGTTGATCTTGATTTATTCCAATATCCGCTAGTAAACGTCGTAACCATATGATTTCTTGTGTTGCATAACTTAGTGCAACATACTCAGCTTCAGTCGAAGATCTTGCAACACAAGATTGTCGCTTGCTGCTCCAGCTGACGGTTGACTCGTTTATCTGGAACACGTATCCTGATGTAGATCTTCTTGTATTTACATCACTTGCCCAATCAGCATCTGAATATCCAACCACTTCGCATGTTGAATCTTTGCTTTGAAAACAAGACCATAATTGATTGTGCCTTTTAGGTATCTCAACACTCTTTTTGCTCCCTGCCAATGCTCCTTTCCTGGCTTTGACATAAATTTTGAAAGAATACCTACAGCAGATGCCAAGTCAGGTCGAGTTGCCGTTGTCACGTATGTCAAACATCCGATAAGTTTTTGATATTCATGAATATTTGTTGCGGTCTCTTCTTCGGGCAGATTCTGAAAATGTTTTCCAGGTTCTAACGGTGTTGAAACAGGTTTGCAATGTTCCATGTTGAATCGTTTCAAGATTCCTTCCAAATATTTTGATTGACTAATTGTCAATTTTCCCCCTTTTTCTGTCTCGTTTGATCAGCATACCAAGGACATGTTTGACTTCATTTAAATCTTCAACTTTGAACTTTGATGCAATGGCTTTCTTCTCCACCTTCAGCATTTTCGTAGAATTGGAAAATAGGAGAATATCATCAACATGAATAGATAGTATCACGAAATTCACATTTCCATCTTGCTGTTTAATAGATTTCACGTACAGACATGGATCACAGCTCATTTGATTGTATCCTTTTGATTTCAGGTATTAGTCAATGGCGTTGTTCCAACATTTGGCTGTTTTAAACCATAGATGCTTTTTGTCAATTTGCAGACATAGTCAGGATGCTTCTTACTAATATAACCTTCAGGTTGTCGCATATAAATTTCTTCATTCAAATTTCCTTGTAAAAACGCTGTTTTGACGTCCATTTGGTGAACTTCCCAATCTTTTGCATTCGCTAAAGCTAACAACGATCGAACAGTTGTATTTCGTATGACGGGTGAAAATACTTCATGATAGTCGACACCTTCAGCTTGTGAATAGCCTTGTGCAACTAGGCGAGCTTTATATCTCTGTATTTCTCCATTTTCGTCTCTCTTCATCTTGAAAACCCATCGGCTTCCAACAATATTCCTATTATCTGGTAATGGGACAAGTTCCCAAGTATCGTTCTCGATAAGTGAATGAAATTCGGAGTCGGTTGCTTTTCTCCAGTCATGTCCATGTTCTCCAGAATAGGCTTCGTTGATGTTTGCTGGTTCGTTGATTTCCGCAGTTAAATCATTGGCGATGTAGCATTCTTCATCAAACCTTTGGGAGGTCTTCTTTGTCTCCTTTCACCAATGTTTTGTACTTCGTTCATAAATCTCTCCTCGTACGTTACTCCCACTGGCTCGTTATCGTTGATTTCTGCATCCATGTTGACGTTTTCGATAATTGGATTCAAATCAAAATCTTTACCTGCTTGCGTTGGGGTTTCTTCGATAATCACCGGAACATTTTGCTCTTTCTTTTGATCAAATGCAGTCAATGGTCTTTTGTCTTCACCAAAGTCATGGAATTGTGTTTCCACAAACATTGCATCACGGCTACGGATGAATTTCAATCCAATAGGGTCATAAAACTTGTACCCTTTGTTCCGTCAGGGTATCCCACAAAAGTAATTTCCGGGATTTTGGGTCTAACTTCTTACGCTGGTTCTCTGGAATATGTACATAGCTCACACAACCAAATACTCGTAGATTAGCTACATCCGGTTTTCTTCCATATAGACATTCGTATGGAGTCATATCCTTTACTGATGTTGTAGGACTTCGATTACGTAAATAGACGGACGTATTTACAGCCTCAGCCCAAAATTCATTTGGCAAATGTGAATGAGACAGCATAGAACGAGCAGATTCAACAATGGTACGGTTCATTCTTTCTGCAATGCCGTTTTGCGCCGGATTATGAGGTACACTTAACTGATGGATGATACCATTTTTCTTCAGGAAATCTTTAAATTGCTGTGAGCAATATTCCCCACCGTTATCAGATCGTAGGGTCTTGATAGGTTTGCCAGTAATGTTGCGAACATGACTATGAAATTCCTTGAATTTCTCTAAAACTTCGCTTTTCTTCTTTATGAAGTAGATGTACGTATACCTTGAATAGTCGTCGATGAATGTGATGTAGTAGCGCGATCCACCAAAAGAGTTTACAGACATGGGACCACACACATCACTGTGTACAAGCTCAAACGGTTGGTTGGCACGGTAATGGTCATCTTTCGGATAAGAACACCGATGTTGTTTCCCCATCATACATCCCTCGCAGAATGAGATATTTTCATTTACATCACTCATTCCTTTAACCAAATCTCCATTTAACAATTTACGAACATTGTTCATTCCCAAGTGCCCAAATCTGCAGTGCCATAAATGCAAGCTTGAATTTGATGCGTCCTTTGCAATGTTCACATGTTCATGTCCAATCCTTAATTTGTACAATTTTCCTTGTATGTCCCCAACAGCTAGAAGTTTGGAATTACGAGATATCTTACACTTGTTACCTTCAAACATAACAGTAGCTCCAAGTTTTATCATGGCATAGACTGATAGTAGATTCTTGTCCAATTCTGGTAAGTACAATACGTTGCGTAATGATATGTTCTGAACGTGATCATCAAGTATTGCTTTCAAATGATAGGTACCTTTTCCATATGCCAAGATTGATCTATTATCACCGAGATTCACCACCGAGGGTTGCTTGAATGTCACATAATCCGTCAGTGCTTCTCTTTCATATGACATATGCTGGGTAGCACCAGAATCTATGATCCAATCTGATCTTCCAATAAGTTCAGATCCATTGCTTATCAAGGCTTCATCCTCATGCACTTCGTCATCTTGTCCTTCGGCACAATGCGCTTGAGTGTTTCTGTTTGCACCATTCTTAGTTTTCTTGTTTGGACAGTCACGAGCATAGTGTCCTTTCTCTTGACAATTGTGACATTTTCCTTGAAAAGGTTTTCTGTTGCTTCCATCGTTCTTCCCTTGTTTATTATTTTTATCACCACGATTCCTACCACGAATAAAATTTCCTCTATGAGCAGAATATGCATCTTCCTTAGTATTCTTCAAATCATTAGTACGGTCCACATCATTCAGAATTAAGTTCTTTACTTTTTCAAAAGAGATCTCTGTTTCTCCCATGGCATCTAAGGCTGTTATTAATGGTTTGTATTGCTCAGGTTAGCTAGCTAACAGAGTCATAGCCAATTCTTTGTCACCACGCTGACTCCCATTTCCTTGAGTTGCTCATGCAGCGATTTGAGATGGCTGATGTGTTCAAGCACACTATCTCCAACATGGTATTTACAGGAATAATACTGTTGGCGTAGTCTCACCTTCTGAAGAAGTGATTCTCGTGCGAATTGATTTCTAATTTCATCCCATGCCTCCTTGGCAGTTTTCGTATCTCGCAAGTGGATCTGTTGCTCGGGCTCGATGGCCAAACAGATGTATGTCCACGCTTTCTTCGCAGCCGAGTTAAACTTCCTTCGCGTTTCAGCACTAGCATCCTCATTTGGAAATCCAGCTGTTCCCTCCGCATGCTCGAAAAGATCCAGACTTTCCAAATACAGCTTCATGTTGAAAACCCATGAGCGGTAATTACTGCCGTTCAGTTTCGCGAACCCTAACGCATTCGACATATCCGACGTGGCCATGCTTAAATTTCGACTATATAACCTTTTTTATTTTTATTGCAATGCTTTTTAACTCAAATACTGACCTTCTACGTCCTGGGCTCATAACCTGTTGATATTTGAGTGATTCATTACAATCAGAAATCAGGAATACATAGAATAGAAATGTAATTGATAGAAAAAATAGTTCATGGCTTCCCGTATAACATAACATGTGCTAAGATAACATAAATACTTCATGCAATAATATTATAGTGTAACATTACATCATCAATAATACTTCATATTGCTAACATTTGTCTATCTCAAGTCTTTAGAACTCTCCTCGTCAGTCATTTATTACATACTCGCGCGTATGTTCTGCTTATTACCAACAATCATGAAAGTTTTGAGAAGAATAGTGACCTTAATGTTTTTATTTACAACATAGATTGCTATAGATTTGGATATAGATTGCTTTAGATAGAAACTTGAACATTTTTTTGTCTTTTAAATTATGTATAATAAAGAGGTAACAGAGATAAGACATGAAGAATCTCGAAATAATGAACAGGAAAACGTGCAGGAAAAGCAACGTGAAGACTTACAGCAAGAGCTCTTGGAGGAGCAACAAGAAGATGAACCACCTGAAGATACTTCTTCCGGTAAGTGTATTGATTTGACTTTATTTATTACATCATCGAAAGTTTTTTATAATCGATCACGAAAACAGCAGTTATTCTTGTTTTTTTTTCTGGTTTTGTTGTTTTGGTCTATGCCCCCAATTTACTAACATGGTTTTTCCAGCACGTTTGCATTGATTTTGTCTATCTGAACTTTCTAGAACTGTTCTCAGTCTTTTATTACACCTCGCGCGCGTGCGGGCGGTCATTTTGAAGAGATTATTGAAACATATTAATTAAGACCCAAATACATCATCACATAAACACGTAATTACATGAGAGCGGGGGTAGCTCGCTTAACGCGCTGGGCCAGTCCATGTATACAGGGGGAACTCTGTAAATGAGGTAACTCGCTTCAAAGAATTGAAGTTTACGCTAACTCCCTCGATCCCTCTCCCCCACTGAGCTGAATGTTTCCAAATTATTTGTGCACACACTACGCGTTTTATTGAAGAAATGTAGCAAAGACGACGAATGAGAATGTCTGTATTAGCAGAACGAACTTGCCCAGAATCCCCTGAAAGAAGCCTAAATCCTCTTGAACCTTGGTACGCAGAAATCCCCAGAAACCATCCAAAAGCTATCCTTCGAACAGGTTCTGCTATTTAGGGAATGATGTCCGTCAATTAATTAGAGTTTTGTAGACATATCAACAGAATTTATGTTCGTGGGCATATCGCAGCGTTATTGCTACCTGGGAGCTAGTTTGCCTCATGTAATCAGGTTAATTTTAAGATGGTCACCACTGTGCTTAGTGAATTTTGAATCGTATAAGGAAAAGGATATCAACGACATTGAAAGTAATCACGTATATTAATAGCATTATAAATGGTTAACTATTTACAATGCTTGTTGTACATCTAGGAAATCACGATGCTACAGTAGTGAGTGATGTTGCCGAAGATAGTGATCGCCGGGGAATTTCTGAAATAATATATCCTGTATGGCTGGAGCTTGGTAGAATGCTGGGCATACCTGAGGAAAATTTACAAGGTAGCATTGCTGTTGTTATCTAATTGTATATACGTAAAGAAATTTGGAGAATGTTTTAAAGACTTTTTTCTTTCGCTCAAAGAGAACTTTCCTTGCCAAGTTTTCAGAAAAAATAATTGATCTATTTATGAAGTTTGGAGCACTTATTTTCAATTTGTGAAGAGTATCTTAATAAACATCGCAAATATGCATCTTATATATCGGTTGCGCATCCTCGTTTATTTAACTGTGATAGTTTCTCTTTTAAAGTATACGTTAGAAAATGTGTCACTTCGCTTAAGGATTCTGTTCAACACCAACATTAGCATTTCGATGTAGATATAATAAATTTTTGAACGGTGAGCCAGGAAAGCTGTCAAATTTCTTCGCTTGCAGTAAGTTTCACCAATAATAAAACGAACATCGTTCCGAAAATAAACAAATTTATAAAATAAAAAATCGACAACTGCACAAAAGTACTAATACGTATCCAATGTTTGACTAATAAGCATTCTCATTTTATAACAGGTTGTTTTATGTTTATGTATACGATGCTCTTCTCGAATTATGATAAAACATTTTGGAACCTTGCTTTGGCGGCTTACCCATGAAACGTTTGTTTGTCAATCAGCTGACTTTATATTCATCTCAATGTTAATGATAGAAAATTCTTCATTCATCGAAACCATACACTTACAGGCCAATATTTGCACAATAAAATCTGAGAACCATCGCCACTACACAGAACTGTTTGGATTCGCTTTCTAATACAGTCATCACATTGATAAATTATATAGCTAAACAGTTTGCCATCAAAAATTAACTGCGAATAGAAATACGTCAAGGATACTTGCTTCTTGGAATATGTTTCACAAATTATTATAACTCACTTGGTTTATTATATTTATACATTGGTTTATCAAAAACGCGCAAGCATGAATACATAATATAAAGCAGAATCATTCTGTATAATACCACAATACCTATATTTTTGATTATTAATGGCTAATATTGTTGATCAATTCTTTGTACAGCTTTTACGCTCACTTAAAATGTATAAAAAACATATTCTACATGTCGTACAACTAGAACACGCATACATTGACAGTCCTGTGTACAATACTATTTCTTTCGATGATGACGTAGCTAATAAATTTAAGACTAATGATAAGGTACTCAGATATTTCGATCAATTAAAAAAATCTAAAACTTTTGATATAGGTTCCTGAATAAATATGCTTCGTTCAAGCATTAATACAGACGTCACATTATTTTTAACACCTAATTACACCTTCAGCGAGTTTTTTTTTTGGACCGAGAAAAATTATTCACTGGATATTGTTGATATTACAAAAAGCTGGCACGATACTCAGATTGTAACAGTAATTGTTCAATAAATTCAAAGAAGTCGTCATAAATTGGTTAAATTAAAGAACTCTTAAAACTTTAACATTTATTAAAACTTTTACGTTCATTAATATAATGATTTTTGAAAACCTATTATTGCTATGGAGAACGCATTGTGAGTTTTATGTGACACAAAAATGAAATTTTGGAAAAATCATTAGCCAATTAACTTACGTATAGCAGGATAGAAAATATGGGGTTTGCTATGCCATTGATTCAAAGGCAAACGCTGAAAGTAGAACTTGTGCAAAAAAAAAAGTCACGAACAGTTTCTTTCAGTTAAAGTTAATGTGTTTTTTGGTTTGCAACTTTCTCAACATTTTGCTTCCGAAACATTTTCTACCTTAAGACCGTTTTAAACAATATTCCATATTCTTCTAGAACTTGAAAATGTAACGAAGAACAATAAAGTTTTTAGAGAAAAGTTCCTTGACGACGATTACAACATTCGAGATGAAATTGTCAATACCCTCCGAAGGTAAAGTTTTTATATTTTGTTATCTTCCATAACTAAAAAAAAAATGATGCATTTTCAGTCATAGCAACATTTTGCGAGGTGGAGATTTAGTTCATCATATTGTTTAGGCATTTGATCTTAACAAACAATTAGTTCACAATTAATGGATGAGGTTGAGCATGATATCAAGAATTATTCAAACAGAGGTCAATATTACCTACCGAAGCAAAGCTCTGGCTGATAACATTGACCAAGGTCTGAATATTTCTTGATATCATGCAAAAACCGAATTCAATAGTTGTTTTATTATACAATAATAAATACAGAAGCTTTCATAAAGTTTTCTGTGCTTTGAAAATAATTTTTTCGGTTCCATGTCGTCTTTTCCCGTAAGCATTCGATGACAACTTTCCTGACTGACAGTGTAACACTCCCCGTGTATTTTTACGTATTTATTTTCAATAGTTCAAGCGAAAACAGTTTGTAAACTCCTGCAAAGCTTAAGCGAGATGCTGCCATTTTTTGTTTACAATTTTCTAATGAACCATTACGTCATCTACAGATAGTATTCAGTATTTTTCACGTGGAAAAAAAACATCGAGAATTTTTCTGTTGCCTTTTATCCAATCACAATTAAGAATGCACGGTCAGTATTCACTTGATGCGTAAATACTGACCGTGCAATCTTGATTGTGATTGAATAAAAGGGAATTTTGTTTTCCAAGGGTCTCATTATTTCCTTAGATGAATTCAAGGAAATTATTGTTTGAGACTCGAGAAAAAACAAAACTCATTATTTGTCGAGGGCTCCCGCATTAAGTTTTTGGTTACATAGAAACAAAGATAATAAATTTCAAATTTTTGACCCCTTTTCAATATAATCAGCGTCTTTCGGGGGAGATCAAAATGAGCTGGCAACAATATCAAAATGCTGTCAAGGTGACCACAGTATTTTTCTTCGAGTGTTTTCTAAATCCTTTCTTTCTATTAATAGTTGAGTTTTGTCGTTTAATAGCTCGAGAAATGTTTTTTAGTTTTCAGCTCCATAGCTGTTTTATTTGTTATGATATTAAATTGAGCGGGAAAACATTTTTCACTTGTCTCCGTGTGTGTGTGATGGTGAGGGACATTGCATTTGTTTTAAGTCACGAGACTAAAAATTATTCAATCACATTTAACATACACAGCACCAATACAACCGTGTTTAAGAATTATTTTTGAAAGATGAAGAATTATTAGGCTAGTTAATGTTTATCGTTACTTTCTATAAAGAGTTTTTCCCTTTTTGAAATGTCTATGTTAAATTTAGATTTATCAATAAAGAATACAGATCACACTCTTCATTACAAGTCATGAGTGGTTTTTAAGTATCCTCTCCGTGCTGGTGTTAACTACCGTTATGTTGGCAAAAACACTTGCCATTTCTTAAAAAAAAAACATCTAAAAAAACTCACACATTCACCTCAATACAAGAGCAACAACGACAAATCTTGTTAGGACTCCAAAACTCTTCTTTCTCTTCAAAATTTTAAGGAAGAGCGACAGCATAATATGTAACACGGACAAATAATCAGCTTCACTTTCTTATATTTATTTATTTTGCCCTGTTTAGTGTCGTGCGGATAAAAGGACCTGTTGCAACAGCTGTTCCAAATCAAGAGATACCTTATGAACATTTATATATCACAGTTGATGAACAGGATAAAATGTTGGAAGGCAGGATAAAAAGAAGGATTGATTCTCAGTTTGGATGGGACGCGTCAAGATTCATCGAATTCCGAACTTCATCATCGAAACCATTAAAGTCAAAATATTATGGTCATCTTCGTTTATCAAATACGTCTCGAGATATTAGTGATAACATTTGTTGTAGCTGTGAGCTGACAATGTTCTGTCGTAAAGATGAAGACTATTTCGCCTTGACCTGTGCACATGTAGGTTGTGTCAGTCACCAAAAGGAATATCTGGAAAGGGATTTTTCGACAATAACTGATATTGTTAAAGCCAGAAATAACAATGATTGTAACAAATATTTCTACCAACCGCCCAATTGTGAAGAGGAGAAACAACTGGGTACCTTTCCATGCGATACGGTTAGTAAGTTTAATGGTGAGACCGATTTCATGTCTATTCCAGTTGGAAAGAAAGAAGATTTTCAGCGTCTCGGTGGGGATGATATGGAGAATCTTGCATTAAGATTAAAAGAAATGAACAAAGAGCTTTATGAAAGATTACGAAATGGCCAGGGTTTTGTCGAAGTTCGTACAAGTAATCACACCAAGGGCTTCATTAGTGAACGGAGTTGTTTATATTTTGGTGAAACTTTGGAGAAACCGATTTTCAAAAATGCTGTTAAGGTGAAAAGTGATGGCTCTTTTCTCAAGAAAGGTGACTCGGGAAGTCTTGTTTATTTAAAAGATCGAGAAAATGTTTGGCAGCCATTTGCTTATGCCGTTTGCGAAATAAATGATGACGAAGACGATGACGATAGTGATGACGTTGATGGTAATGATGATGATGATGATGATGATGATGATGATGATGATGATGATGATGATGATGATGATGATGATGATGATGATGATGATGATGATGATGATGATGATGATGATGATGATGATGATGATGATATAGGCTCCAAGAGAAGCTATATATGCTTAAAATTGGATAAAGCATTGGAGATATTGGATCTAAGAGATGGGAAGTTCTTTATAGAACCCAAAAACAACAGTTGTGGCTTTTCTTCTGACAAAAGTAATTTACAAAATGCAAAGATATATAACTATTCATTCTTCCATAATCCTTAATATCGAACGTCATTTAGCAAAAAATGTTTCAATTTTTTATAACTTAATAGATATAATCGCTACTGAGGGAGGGTAATCACTTGAGATCAATTGAAAGCAAACAATTTCCACAAAAAGATGTTTTAGATGTATGCTGAAATTTTAATGGCAATCACTTATATCAGTATTTTGCAAAAGCCATAATTCCTTAACGTGGTTTACAATAAGTAAATTTACTTATTTGGCAAAGTCTGCAAGAAATGAGAATTAGTTTCAAGAACACTTATACACTTTGACCAAATGTAAACGAAAAAATTTTTATAAATCCTTTGTAGACCCAATATGCAAGACTTGTTTCTTTTTGGTAGATAAATCGTCCGCACTAATCTATTTTTCTCACTTTTTAGATAGTTTACCTGGTGAAATAATAGATGATGAAAATTGTTATGAGCATCATGCCACTCAACAATTACCAACTGAGTCTGATCTGGAATCATTTCGTTCAAAAGATCAGGCATTTCAAATGCTGTTGCTTTGGGAAAAGGAAAAAGGAAAAGATGCTACTAGAAAAAAATTGGCAGATGCCTTAATCAGTATAGGTCGTCGGGATCTTTCAGAGAAAATATTACCAGGTATTGCCTGTTTCATGAAATACTCAAGCGTTATAAATGAATACTATCGTCATCGACATAAATATGAGTACACAGCAATATTTACTCTTGAATCGTAATTCGACTGTAATTTGTATTATTTTATCTGCAGAGAAAAAGTGCTTAATACTAAAGCGAAAACCGTTATTAGCGCTTATTAAAAAACTTATCATTTCCTTAAATGTAATTTTCACTACAATATCACAGAATAAAAATTAAACAGAAGGCTCACTCAAGTGTGCGCTTCGTCCTAACGTCCTCCATCATTCCAACAAGATACTTAAGATTTTTCATTTGTTTCCAACGACTCCAATCACATGACGTCATTTCTTCACAATGAAATCGAAAATATTTCAATATAAGAATTGACGTCGTATCATTTTAGTGGTTGGGAACAAGTGAAAAGCCCTAAATATCTTGCTGGAATAATGGCTGCCGATATGCACGGCACAACATAAGCGAGAACAAAAACATCAAAGGCTCCGAAACGAGTGACCCTTCTGTATATTCCATATTCTGGGACACTATGTTTATGATCATTTGCATCGATCATCTGGTGATACAAAATAAAGGTAATTGTAAGTTTACCTACGATTGGTCGTTTTTTAGATAAGCACTAAGCGGATATTAAATCAATGAAGGCATCTTGAAAAAAGCTCAGATCGTTTATTTACGTTCTTTTTTCTGTCAGCCTTTTACATCGAAGACAAAACATAACAACTGTTTGAAATCGGTAAACAACATTCGTAATGAAAACGAGACGGAATCGTTTGAAATATCCTGGAATCAGAAGAAAAAAGGAAACTTAAATTTGAGCAGACAACAGCTAAATGTCATCTCTTTGTTAAATATATTAACTGTTCAATCACCTGATGATCGATCACAATGGATCGTGAAACACGTTGCAACGAGGTTAGCACGTGATATCGTTGCAGCGAGGTTTGCACGTGATATCGTTGCAACGAGGTTAGCACGTGATATCGTTGCAACGAGGTTAGCGCGTGATATCGTTGCAACGAGGTTAGCACATGATATCGTTGCAACGAGGTCAGCACGTGATATCGTTGCAGCGAGGTTAGCACGTGATATCGTTGCAGCGAGGTTAGGGCGTGAGGTTAGCAGGAAAGAAACAGTTTCTTAATTCAATTTCTGTCATAGGCAAAACGCGTAATCCTGTCATATCATCAAGGGATAAGGAAGTGTTTTCTTTTAAAAATGAGCAAAAACTCATTTTTAAAAGGAACTCCAGGACAACGTTAAATGACGATGAAAAACGATGGTGTGTTTATGGAATCGTACTTAATCATGTTTTGATCCCAGCTGTTCGACCTTACCTGGAAAATAATATTTTAAATGAGTATGATGAATTAAAGAAATCTCATAATATTCATGTTCAAACGTTTCACAACTTTCCTTCACCAAAATATTCCCTCCGCGATCTGCATTATAAAAACATCAACAATAATGAAACAAAGGATAAGAGGAAATTTAACTATGAAGTTAAGTCACATGTCGACTTTGGAAAACTTTTCCTTCGAAACTACATAGCAAAGTTTAACAGTTACAACAGTTGTAACGCATCAGCAGTGCTTAATTTACTAGAAAGGGTCCCAATTTTTTCCAACCTGGTCCAGAATGTGGCAAAAATCGTTAGAGAAAATAGAAATTCTTGGGCTCACTGTAATGTTAAGGCATGGAACGAAACAGATTTTCAAAACAGAATCGACATTGTGAAGAAACTTGTGAAAGAATTGTGTTTAGAAACTGATGATGAAGTTTTGAATGATATAAATCATTGGAAAGATCAAGGTATATTTTTCATTATTATATCATTGAGTGGGTTTTATTAACGATTTGCAGAACGTATGTAAAAAAAAATAGTTATAACATCTTCATCCAAAACATCCCAGCAATACCAGTATATCAGTATATCGTAAATTTAATATATTTTATCAACACCATTTTAATTACATTTTACAGCTTTGTCATTGTGGACAAGCGATCGTACTTTATGTGAAGAGTTAAAGGATCACATTAACAGACTTTTCAAAGAAGATGAAGAAACGAAATTTGGAAGCGAAGAGTGGAAAAAGTTAGCGCAAGAGACGCTTGACAAATTTTCGAATCGCATTGAAGAAATACATCAGTTAAAAAGACGTGTTGAGAAAGTTGAAGACAAAGTTGAGAAAGTCGAAGACAAAGTTGAGAAAACGCGTAATCCTGTCATATCATCAAGTGATAAGGAAGTGTTTTCTTTAAAAAATGAGCAAAAACGATGGTGTGTTTATGGAATCGTACTTAATCATGTTTTGATCCCAGCTGTTCGACCTTACCTGGAAAATAATATTTTAAATGAGTATGATGAATTAAAGCAATCTCATAATATTCATGTTCAAACGATTCACAACTTTCCTTTATCAAAATATTCCCTCCACGATCTACATTATAAAAATATCAACAATAATGAAACAAAGGATAGGAAAAACTTTGATTATAAAATTACATCACATGTCGACTTTGGAAAACTTTTCCTTCGAAAGCACATGGCAAATTTCAACAGTTACGATTGTTGTAACACATCAACAGTGCTTAATTTACTAGAAAGGTTCCCAATTACCCAAAACCTGGTCCGGAAAGGGGCGGAAATCCTTAGAAAAGATAAAGTTTCTTGGGCTCACTGCAATTTTCAGGATTTTGGTGAAACAGATTTTTGTCAGAAAATAGAAAATATGAAGCAACTTGTGAAGAAATTGAGTTTAAAAACTGAAGAAAAAGTCATGGATGATTTAAATTATTGGAAAGATCAAGGTTTATTTTTCATTATTATATCATTGAGTGAGTTTTATTAACGTTTTGCAGAACGTATGTAACAAAAAATTAGTTATAAAATCTTCATTCAAAACATCCCAGCAACACCGGTGTATCGGTAAATCGTATATTCAATATATTTTATCAATACCATTTTAATTACATTTTACAGCTTTGACATTGCGGACAAGCGATCATACTTTATGTGAAGAGTTAAAAGATCACATTAACAGACTTTTAAAAGAAGTTGAAGAAACGAAATTTGGAAGCGAAGAGTGCAAAAAGTTAGCGCTAGAGATGCTTGACAAATTTTCGAATTGCATTGAAAAAATGGATCAGTTAAAAAGACATTTTGAGAAAGTTGAAGACACAGAAAGCATACTTCAAGACAAAGTTGAGCAACTTTATGAAAGCTATAATAATGGTATATTATTAAAACTACAAAATTTCAAGTTTAGATTTATAATTTAAACACCACAAAACACACTGTTGAAAACCCTAAGCAAACAAAACTATTGAAAAAGTGTGAACAATTTTCAAAATGTTAACAATGAACCATTAGTGCAATATATAGAAATGCATTAAAGAATGAAGACGAGATGTCTTTCAAACAAAACTTACTTTAACATTGTATTTTCATAGATTTCGCCATTTATGACAGCGATATCAATTTACACTACCGAAAATTCGATCAAAAAACAAGAAAATGGTTCATCAACAATTTCTCTGCTTGGTTCGATGAACCTGGAGAATCAAGAGCTTTTGTATTTATGGGCGATGCTGGAGTTGGTAAAACAGTTATGTCAGCCGCTATCGCTCAACGCACTAAGGATGATGGGAAGTTAGGAGCAGTATTCTTTTGTAGACATTTTGATGGTACACGTCGTGATCCAAGACATCTCCTGGCCAGTGTTGCTTATCAGTTAGGTAAACGTTTTCCTGATTATTTGAAATTATTGGGAGGGGTGTCTGGAATACAAAAACGACTAAGCGATGCAAAACTAGGCGTTCAAGAACTTTTTACTAAGTTTTTCGAAGATCCATTATGTAAGCTTGAGACTTTTTCAAAAACTCTCATTGTGATCGATGCTTTAGATGAGGCAGATTATGATTCGAAAAATGAATTTCTTAGTGTTGTAACTTCTCATTTTCCCCAACTTCCACAATGGCTACTTTTCTTTATAACAACACGTCCAGTAGATTACACACAATTTACTTTGAAAAATTACAATCCATGTGTAAAGATTTGTTCAGGAAATGCGAATGATGCTAAGACTTATGAAAGACACGAACAAGATATTCAAACTTTTTTGGAAAATCAAGTCGACTTCACTGATAAATCATTTTCTGCAAAAGAAATTACAAAAAAATGTAAAGGAATGTTTTTGTTTGCACATCATCTTGCCAAAACTCTCAAAGATTCATCTGAAACGGATCTTGAAAAATGCCCTCAAGATATTGATGGTTACTTTCTCAATAATTTTAAACGTATTTATGAGAAAGTTGGAAAAGATTTCTATAAAAAATTGTTAGGTTGTGCAGTGATTGCTCCTTCACCTCTTCCTAGTTCGTTTATTCCATTTCTTTTAAAAAAAGAAAATTTACATCTTGACGAACAAGAAGTAATTGATGCTATTTCACTGTTTTTTTCTTGTGATGAAGAAAAATTCACGTTTCTTCACAATCTTATACCTGACTGGCTCACTGATAAAAAGCGCGCTTCGCGAAAGTTGGTAATAGATAAAACAGCAGCACAAATTTTCTTTAAGGAAATTGTCATCGAACTTTTGACATCATTCCTGGAGAATGGACTACCATTCAATGACTCAGATGAAAATTCCGTTGTCTGTTACATCCTCACAATTGAGTTTCGTTATCTATTTCATCTTTCAACTGAAAACTCTGAATTGTCGAGAATATTTTTTCAGTGTTTTACTAACTATCAATTTCTCAAACAACGAATACAAAGCAGTACATCAGGTATTTTTTCCCTTTTAAATGACATTCACTTTGCAATTGGAAATATTGAGTTAAATGAAGATGAAAAACAAACTGTTAAGGAACTACAGTCTATTCTTGAAAAGAATAGTTTTTATTTGGTAGATAACCCTGATCTTTTGGACTCCTGTCTTTCAAGGTTATCCTCGAAGGTCAGAGAAGCATTTATGTCAAAGCATTAAAACCAATGTAGGTTGCCAAATATTATTTCAAATGAGGACATTAATATTAAGTGTGACGTCTATGCTTATTCAACAGACAGAACTTTGTTGGCAGGAGGAAAAGGAAACGTTCTCCACAAAAATCCACATTCTCTTATGATGGACGGTATTTTGTAAAATTTTCTAATTCTGAACTTAAAATTTTTTCCGCCGATTCCTCTTTCTCCACTTCTGAAATAGTTCATAGACTGGAGAATGGTGAATCAGATTTCCATTTTGTGTTGTTTTCTCCAGACTCGTCCTTGATTCTATTTTCCACCAATAACAAGGATTCTTGTCGTCAAACCATTTACGTCTGGTTTGTGAAACACAAAGTTTCAAAGCTTTTCCTTCCTGAAAAGAATTGGATAGAAGTAGACACTTGTTGTTCTTCGATGAATAACTTCAAAATTATCTTGTGCAGAGGAACATCAATTTCGATATACGACTATGATAAAAATGTAGCCAGTGAACCAACCACGCTTTCTTTTCAATTAGGTAGTAAACATGAGAAGTGTAGCCATTGTATTTTGTCGTCTGACGACAAAATGTTAGCTTGTTGTGTAGAAAATAAAATAATTTTTTATGAGTTGCTAAGTGCTCCTGAAAAAGCATCTCAATTTAAGCATTCATGCATGGTTAAATGTTGCTACTTTATGGGAAGAAACAGATATGTTTTGTTTCAAGATATTGTAGGTTACATGTTCATGTTTGATCTGATTCAATGGAAACTTGTAGCATACTTTAAAGCTGAAGCTTTAGATAAAATTTTTAAACTTACTGATTACAAAATAACTTGTATTCAATATGACGGTAAAATCAATTTTCTCGCTTTTGACGGTTTAAACGATTGGTCAGGCAAAGAATACAATCTACCTTAAAATTTGGATGTGAGCGACTTTGCACCTTATACAAACAGTGACAATGATGAAGACGACTATTGCGATAATAGTGAATTTTGGCAAATGAAATTTGAATAATGTAAGTGACGATGAAATGGTTTAACAATGTAGATTGTAATTTATGTGTGTTGTTAATTTCACTAATAGTGATAATGAAGTCGACAGTACCATCGACAATGTGAAATGTCAGCTGAAATTGTTTTGAACGTCCAGGGCTGCATCGTTGAGATGTTACAAGAAATGAAAACTTTTGTCATAAAAACTCATTTCATTTATTTTTTATGTATAATGACTATAATCTACGCCTCCATCAAAGCATCGATATTTTTCTAAACAAAATAGACAAGGAAAAATTTGCTAAACGAATTTTCATAATCGTATCTTTACCAACTTGGTAAGTGAGGGTTATTGAGAAAGTCAGCTTCTTTACCGGAGGGTGACACAGTCATACAAACGAAATTAATATTTTGCAGTCAGAAGCAAATGTAGATAAATTACATAAACTTATTTAATAACATATTCAAATTTCAAAACATACTTTCACATTATTATGAACGTATATTTTGAAATTAAGATTTTTCTGCTGGTTAAGTCCGCAAATGTTTGCAGTATATTGTATTGTGAAAATATGCCTCCCTCCATACTCCGCGCCTAAATCATCAACCTAAAACGTGCAAAGTTGTTGATAACTTGATCATCTAAGGCAGGTTGAACGAACCTTGGATAACGTTATCCATTGGATAGCAAAAATTTTCAAACTTGTAAAAAAGGTGTTTATATTTTTTTACGACAAAGAAATTCCATAATCTTAAAAACAATGTTTTATTTCAGTGATTGCTTTTTAAGAATCTTATAATTATTGCTTTTCAAAACGTTTTATAAGAGTTAAAAAAATTGCTATCCAATGGATAACACTATCCAGGCTTCGTGCAACCGGCCCCTGTTCCTAAGTTTCTTAAACTTTCTGCGTTTTTCAATAATTCTAAAAAACATTTGCTTGAGAACGTCATCTTAAAATCAAACTTTTTGTGAAGATAACACAACTGTGTTGTGTAATAGTTGAGAATTCTTGATCTAAGAGATTGGGGAAAGTTGATCACAGAGAGATAGAAATGTTATATGTTGTGTAAACATGTAAATTTGTGGTTCTATTTCAGAAAAACATAATAAAAAAACTACCTTTTTTACACTTTTTAACAATTTATAGCAATGTTTAGAAAATCGTTTTGAGACAATTATTGATGTTATTGATGTTAATGAGTCATTTCGTTCGGAGAACCCGTGGAACATTACGTCAAAAAAAAAATAATCTTATTAAAATCAAATATCACCCACTACGACTTAACCAACCCGTCGTATTCAAAAAAGTCATCTTAACGACAATCTTCAACATCAAATTAATCAGTGAACATTGCTATAAATGTAATCATTTACTTGTTGATATAATCCTAGATATTTGTAGTATAAATAAACAATACTATAAGAACCATGTTTATATGAAAGGTGAGACTGGACTTGACGAGTCTTTGTCACTTACCAAACTACAGTTGGGATCCTACCAAAGACGAAATGTTTTTCGACACGTAAATGATTCATCATTTCCGACAAAAAAATATGAAAAGCTGATATTACATCACAGACTTGTCTTTAAACAGAAAATTATCAAATATTGCTACCCTACCCCTACAAAAATAAGTAAAACGTTTCGTTTAAACAAGCCTCAGGTTTCGTCTCTCCATTAATAAACAGACCTTAATTTGGAAATTGTAGATGTCAGTTAAGATAAAAAATGTTGTTGTAAGTAAAAGTAATCCAAACATTAACTGGTCATAAATTACATTATTTTTTATGATGTTTGCATAAAGTTCAGCTAAATGACTGGAACTTTTTATAGCAACAAGTGTTTAGCCATGTAATAATCTTTTAGCATTTTGTCGACAATTTATTTAGTGGATTAAGAAGGATATTAAATAAAGTATCAACCTCAAATCTACTGGAAATAATGTTTTCTTTTTTATTTTGTATTTATCAAATAAATATATTTTCAACATAAGCACCTCAAGATTTGCGATGTTCCTAGAAATTGCTTTAGTAGTAAAAATTGCTACTTAAAGTGCATAACATGAATAATATTGCAAGTCATCGTACATTTTTAGTTCGACATTATTTAGGTCCAGTGGTGGATCTATGGATGGTCAGGATACATTACAATTTATTTCCATTTTAAAATACTCTGGAGCGAATCCTATTGGGATTATTTCAGTCTTAAATATTCTTTAGAAACTTTTAATGTTGTTAAAAAAGTCTTTTGAATTTAAAATAAGCTTCTATCATTTATTTCAAACTACCCTCGATGCGACACGGTCTAGGTCTTAATCAATTTAATCTTTCCTAAACCAAGTTTCATGCTTCCAAAGTATTAGTATGCATTTATCAGGAACCGAGGGGGACTGTGCAGTTATATCCCCCCTCAAACAATTTTGCTTCCATTTTGAATTTTGTAAACAAATCTCAAACTAGCAAAGAACTTTCTAAGATTCAGTGGTCAATAACCATAGCACCTCCATTAAAGAATATGCTCCACAGTCGCTCTTTATTCGTTATATTATTTGTATTTTATATAATTTGAAGTTAAAATTCTATTTTAAGAGCAACAAGTTTTTAAACCCTTGTCTTCAATGTATTTTTACCCTGAAGAATCAAGCGATCAAACTAAACTATAAACGAACTAAAACAGCCACGAGCCTTAAAGTTTCGGCTTGGCTGGAATCTTCTCCAATTTTTCATACAAACGATCAATTTCATCATTAAAACTTTTCGCTAAAGTAAATCGTTTGGACTTAGTGTTGGAGTTAGTAATCCATTATCTGGAGTGAATAGTTGCGAATGAAGATGAATTCCTTTGACCTGAAATAATGACAGAAATAAGATAAGGTGAAATAAAACTACAGAAGAAAATTATCGAGTAAAACCTGTTCAAACGACGCCAACTTTGCTTCTTTTCCTCTGGAGATGATGTCATTCAGAATCATGACATTGACGGCATGAAGTTTGAAGTAATAGAACGTACAAGCGTCACAGTAGCATGGCCAAGTCAAACACTGAAGGCTATGCTTTGTTGAGAGTCGCCTGTTGCTAAAAAGCGAAGAGTAACAGCGAGGCGTTCTTCAGGACTCAAAGGCTCGCGGTACAAAGAATTCTTTTTCAAGTATGGCCCAACCAGACCAAGAAGTAAATCAAACCGCGAAGGGGTCATCCGCAAGTATTGATAAAATGATTCAGGATCATTTAACCGCATTTTTTGAATGAGCCGATGGTATTCCCCCAGTTGTTTTCGCCGCTTTAAAATATCTTTAATCCAAAACCTTTTTTTGTATTTATTCCTTCGTTTTCGTCTTTGGCGAAGCAAAACTAGAATTGCTAATTTTCGCTCCTCTTTCGACGCCATTTTGAATTGCAGCACGCATTAAATTCATGCACAACGCAAAACGCAGCACTGGAGATTAAAAATCCCCGTGCGTTTTTATCTATGGATGTACGCACGAAAAAAAACGCAACAGTGGAAAGCAGCCTTAAGGCTTGTTCCATTCTGCTCAAATTTACGCACGTTGTACCAGTGTACCAGATGATACTGAGGGCCAAAGTTTGTCGTTCTGGAAATCTTTGTTTGAACTGACTGCGGGTTTTTTGTAAGCTACCGGTTTCAAAAAACGTTTTCACAAGGAATGTGCCTTCTGCCATTCTTAATTGGAGCCACTGCGTTTGTAAAGCATACGATACAAGAAGAAGTTAAATTTGCATTAAGTCTGCAGTGATGATTAGCATTTAAAAGCCTTATGGGAGTAAATTTGAAAAAAAAATGGAATTCCCACTGGCGGAAAATTGTGATTTTTATGAACTAAATTTGTTAAGAAATACTTCTTCATTTTACAACTGAAAGATTCGTACAACATGTCTTTTGAAAGGTAAATAAATAGACTTAACAAAGGTGCAAAAACCAAACAACTTTTTCAAATATATTCTGTGTTATTGAACTCCAAATTTGAATTGGAATTTTTTGAAACACCCTGTACATAATGCTAAAATCTACAAAATATAAGTTCGCATCAATAAATTAACTATAAATTCAGCTGATTAAGTTATCATTTAAGACAACGTGGTTTTTAAGACAACCTTCCCTTAGAGTTTGAAGGACCAGGGTTTAACTGAGTGTCTCCAATATAAGGGCCTTGGCATTTCAATTGTCAGGGGGAACAAAATTTTAAAAACTATTCCCACAAAATTTAAAAATTCAGGCTTCAGTTCTGGCATTGAAGATGAAGAAGATCTTATCGTAATTTCTAGCATGAAATATTGAAAACGTATGTTGTCATACACGACAATTTACGCAAAACACATTTTTTAAGAATTTCAAATTTTAGAGTTATTGCTAACTGAATTTGGGATCAAGTTTAGAATTAAACTAGCAAGGATTTGACACGTTTCTCTAAACTTATAGCAACAATTAGAACAACATTTGGTTTCGATAATTAACAATCGTTAATATAGCCAATAAGGGGCTGTTTACATGATCCCGGCTAACCGGAATTCAGTGAGGCGTAAAATGATTTCGACGCATTAAAAAGAGTCGAAACTTCAAGAGTAAAAATTACAACTGTTTGTTAAGCGCCGCAAGTAATGCCTGTTGTAATTCTCAAATTACGCCAAATTTGTTGTTCGACTTTGAATGTTATGCGTAAAGTTATTAAATCAGAATATTGTGAAAGTGCTGAAGAACATTTATCTGATATTGAATGTTAAATCTTTTCCATTTGCCAAAATCATTTAACGCTTGGCTGAATCCCGGGTACCCGGGATCATGTAAACAGCCCCTAAATTTTCTCGTATTGTAACTGAACACCTGTATATATATACAAACTATGTACAAAGTGTATAACAATGTATAACTATGTATAACTATGTATATATATGTACAATTAACTGGCAACTTGTAAATATGTCATTCTTTCTGATAATGGTTTTTAAATAAAATCGAAACATTGCAGCGTAATTGTCTTGTTTTATAACTTTGTGGTTACATTATGAGTTACACTAGGTTACACTATTTGAGGTTACAAGATGCCCTTTTACAGAATATGCTTATTTTAAACTTTTTGGTTCCTATGAGTTTTATATGTGTCTTTCGACCACTTTATCATATATATAGTTGTCCAAACTCTTAGGCTCCATATTCAATTCAATTATGTATTAAGAGTTGGAGCAGCTAGGACCAACATATTTAATGTTCGTATTCGATAAAAAAGGCCCAAGTTTTAGCCACACTAACTTTTTCTTCCTCTCTTAGCTTATGGACTGATCTTTC